CAGTGCCCGCTGCTGTCCACCCTTGGGTGCAGCAACTGCCGCGGAAGTGGCCATGACAGACAGTAATTGTCAGGAGTAGGTCCAGCACCTCCAGCTCCTACAGCGCCAGCAGCACCTCCTGCACTCCCAGCAGCACCTCCTCCACTCCCAGTAGCACAAGTAGCAGCAGCAGCAGTAGTAACAGCAACAGAGCGATTCGGTGGGGGTGGGAGGCCGCACCTCCACCACTCCCAGCACTACTCCCTCCAGCAGCAGCAGTAGCAGGGCGGCTCGGGCAGCAGCAGCAGACCGAGCAGCAGCAGCAGCAGCAGCAGCAGTAGACCGAGTAGCACTAGCTGTAGCAGTAGTAGTTGCAGTAGCAGCAGTAGTGACAGCTCGGGCTGGGCGGCGTGGCAAGTGCAGTAGTAGGAGCTGCAGCTGTAGCACGAGCTGTAGCAGCAGTAGCTTCAGTCAAATAGCAGCAGCAGCAGTAGTAACAGCAGCAGGGCGGTTCGGTGGGGGTGGGAGGCCGCACCTCCACCACTCCCAGCAGCACTCCCTCCAGCAGCAGCAGTAACAGGGCGGCTCGGGCAGCAGCAGCAGTAGACCGAGTAGCACTAGCTGTAGTAGTAGTAGTTGCAGTAGCAGCAGCAGTGTTAGCTCGGGCTGGGCGGTGCGGCTCGGACACAGTGGCAGAGCAGCAGTAGCACTAGCTGTAGCGGCAGTACCTTCAGTCAGTAGCAGCTGTAGCAAGTGCAGTAGTAGGAGCTGCAGCAGTAGCTTCAGTCAATAGTAGCTGTAGCAAGTGTAGCAGTAGGAGTTGCAGCAGTAGCACTAGCTGTAGCAGCAGTAGCTTCAGTCAATAGTAGCTGTAGCAAGTGTAGTAATAGGAGCTGCAGCAATAGCACTAGCTGTAGCAGCAGTAGTAGCTGTAGCAAGTGCAGTACTAGGAGCTGCAGCAATAGCACTAACTGTAGCAGCAGTAGTTTCAGTCAATAGAAGCTGTAGCAAGTGCAGTAGTAGGAGCTGCATCAGTAGCACTAGCTGTAGCAGCAGTAGCTTCAGTCAGTAGTAGTAGTACTAGCTGTAGCAGCACTAGATGAAGTAGCACTAGCAGTGACAGCTCGGGCTGGGCGGCGCGGCTCGGACATAGTGGCAGAGCAGCAGCGGCACGTAGCAGTAGCAGCCGGTGCACAACAGCAGTAGGCGGGTGCGGGCTGTGAGCTAGCAACCTAGGGGCGCGCAATAGGTGCGCGCGGAGCAGCTCAAAAGGAGCGCGCAACAGGTGCGTGCTAGGGGCTGGCGGGCAGCATGAGTGGGGCGCGCAGCTGCAGGAACGAGGGGGGACCGGGCGTAGGGGCTAACGGGTCGCGCGAGAGGCGCACGGGGCAGTTAGGGCGCGGTCAGGGGGGGTCGCACGTGACTAGGAAGAAAAATCGCGTCTAGGGCAGAAAAAGAAACCGTCTCGCCTAGGGCACGTTTTCGCGTTTCTCCTAGGGGCGCGACTCGGGCAGCAGATCGAAATAGTAGAGGTGGGCCCTTATAAAAATTCGGTCCTATGGAGCATTGCGCTCTTAATACCATGTCGAGATTAGCTAGGAAGAAGTGGTCGATTAGGTAAGAGGGAGGGGGTACAAGGATGTCGAGAGAGTTGGGTTGTACCCTCTAAGGTGTGATCTCTACACAACCTAAAGAAACATGAACAAACTGTTGAAGAACGAGTTAACTAGAAGCTAGCGTTTTGGAGAGGCTTAGCAAGGAGAATCATGGAGGGAGGAGTTTGGCCAAAAGGAGAACTTTGATATTAGGCAAGAGTACAAGATATAGGAGAAGGAAGAGAGAAGAAAAGGGTACTCCACCAGCAGTTGATGCTAATAACTAAACTAATACACTAGCAAGCTATAGGCAGGTATAAGATATGCAATATCAATTAACACACCCCCGTAACTGCCTATGGCTATAGCTAGTGGTGTCTGGCACCAGGTCGCCTGGAGAGCAGTTGCTTGTAGCTGGGATATGCACAGAAACAGCGGTTGCTGACCGGCAGCACCTGTGAACGCCAGAATGGAGGAGGGCGCGGAGAGCGCGGAGGAGGGCTGGGATAGCCGTAGGGCGAAGGATGCTGGTCGCTCGCTATCTACGAGCAAACACAACTGTTGGTGAGGAGGAGGAAGCTGCTGGTGGTGCACAGGAGGAGAGGAGAGGAGGAGGAGATGCGGCTGGAGGAGAGGAGGTAGGAGGAGGAAAGGTGAAGAGAGGCGGCTGGAGGAGAGGAGAGAGGAGGGGCGGCTCTGGTCATACCCGCCACCCCCACACCCCTTCCCCCTCCCCCCCACTGCAGCACGGGCGGCAAGGGAAGAGAGGATGGGCGGGGGTGCTGGTGCTGCCAGCCAACTCACGCCACCCTTTCACCTTCGCCCCCCGTCCCCGCCACATCCCCCCCCCCAAAGCAGATGTCGCGGGTGAGGCGTGGCAGGGCGCGGGTGTTGCTGCTGGGAGCTCACGACGGCCAACCGCCCCACACCACGTCCCTAGCGGGTCTGCTGGCGCGCTGGCGGGTCCGAAGGCGCATCGGCGGACCGCTGGCAGGGCCGTTGGCGGGCTCCCTTGCGCGCTGACGAGTAGGCTGGCGCAGTCGCTGGCGCTGGTGTTGACACACGTCGCTGGCGCAGGCGGCCGTCGTTGGCGCTAGCGCTGGCGCCAACGCTGGCGACGGTCGCTGGCACTGGCACTGGCGCTCACGACCAGCGAGCGGGCGACGAGGCTGCACGTGCGCGGGAAGCTGCACGTGTGCGGCCGCGCGCGCGGCTGCTGATGCGCTCGTGACGGGACGGGGCGGGACAGCGCGAGGGGCGAGCAGTGAGTGGGGCGGGCATTGCGGGACGGGGCAGCCAGCACACGGTGTGCTAACGGGCTGCACGACTGGTGGGCCCATGGTTCTTAGGTCCTAGGAAAGGACCTGCTCTAATGCCATGTTGAATAACGAGTTAACTAGAAGCTAGGGTTTTGGAGAGGCTTAGCAAGGAGAATCATGGAGGGAGGAGTTAGGCCAAAAGGAGAACTTTGATATTAGGCAAGAGTACAAGATATAGGAGAAGGAAGAGAGAAGAAAAGGGTACTCCACCAGCAGTTGATGCTAATAACTAAACTAATACACTAGCAAGCTATAGGCAGGTATAAGATATGCAATATCAATTAACACAAACAACATGTTTTGACAAGTATTTGTCAGTAGATCTGCACTGTGGATGCCCGATCGATCCTGGAGAGGGTTACAGGCGCGTTTGCCTGGGGGGTTATGGGCGCACTGACCCGCTACTGAAACAAGCCCTTTTATCCCAATGGTCTAGTGGTTGGGATTCTGACATGGTATCAGAGCGGTCTCGGGTTCGATTCCTGGTGTATGCACATGTAGGCCGGTGCCGCTGTGCTTAGTCCTGGGCCTCCCAGTGTGGCGGGGTGTCAGTAGATCTGCACTGTGGATGCCCGATCGATCCTGGAGAGGGTTACAGGCGCGTTTGCCTGGGGGGTTATGGGCGCACTGACCCGCTACTGAAACAAGCCCTTTTATCCCAATGGTCTAGTGGTTGGGATTCTGACAGTATTTCCCTAATGCTGTTTTCTCAGGACAAGCCCGCAACACCTAAATGAATTCAGGACATTCAGGTTAATTTATCCTGATAATATAGGGCCTGAACGAGTCAGTTGTTTGTCCTTGCTGTCGCTAGGGCTCTCGTTATCAGACTAATTTGGTCTAATGGTTTGATTTTCAGACTCATTTTTTTCGGATTCATCTTATTTGGCAAACAGGATCAGACAAAACCATGTCTAATGCCCGGGGGACCCGTCTGATAAATCAGACATCTTCAGATCCTAGCAAGAGCCCTGGCTGTCGCGCTGTACCGTTGTCAAGTCAAAGGTCACTGACCTTTGACCTTCGCGTAACACTCAGCAGTTGCTATTCTTGTCAACCTCCGATGGTTGATTCGCCGTTGTTCCTCTGTAGTTCGCCTCGTTTGTGGTTCGGTGTTACGACACATGGTGTGCATCAGAATGTTCTGAACATTTCCTGAAGGCTGAGCCGCCCAGGGTGTTCCAAAACCATAATCAGGACCTCCGTATGAGCTGTAACGTTTCACATACACCGAAACTGTGATAATTCCACACCCCTTTTCTTCACGACCGGGGGTAGCCAGCCACCCTCATTTAGTATGATTTTGAGAGCGGCTCACAACATTTTTTGAATCATTTAGGTTACACTCACGCAATCCCGTGGCGAGATTTTCCGAAGTACAAGCATGATGTGGAGATTTCCCCCTCTCAATCTGACGGTATGGTGTAAGTTTCGTGAGGCTGGACGTTCCGGTAATTTAATTATAGACCCATATTTTCAGGGTGCCCGTGTCTTCGAACCAAGAATTATTTAGGGTGCCTGGCTAGGGAAGTGTACGGGGTGTGGAATTATCGCAGTTTTGGTGTAGCTGCACGCAGGATGGCTGGCAGTGGGTCAGCGTACTTAATTGAGTACCGTCATCGCCCGGATATAAGACAGTGTCGAATTGAAGACATGGGGTGTCGTTAAAACGGGTGTTTCTTATAGATGGGTGTTCCTGATTATAAGACAACTGTCGGTGTGTACAAGTTAAGCCAGTATAGGGATTAGGGGCAATTTTATGACTAGGGGGTATCTTCTAAACGGTTTTTTGTCCATTTATAAGAATTATAAGACACCCTAAACTGTCCCAATTACAAGACACAGCAAGCTTTTTTTCTTATGTATAAGATAAGACATATATGTCTTCTATCCGGGCGATGACGGTAGGTTGGGTTGCACATTCCTTACAACTAATGCACGCAACAGCACGTAGCATCATTGCTAGCCAATGTCGATTAAACAGAGGTATACAGTGGAATGACTGCCTGCACAGCCATACCAAGTACTGCACTAGCCAGTGCAAGCTATACTTGCACAATGTCTCGTCTGTACGGAGCTATTTTATCCCCAAATCGCTGTCAGGCTGTCAGCCCCGGCCTTCAGAAATAGTGTCCAGCATGGTTCTATATTGCGCCAGGTCCTGGGAATGACGAGAGAAGGCAAAAAAACAGAGGTATTGAGGGACTAAGAACGAGGATATGTTTTGGTAATGACAAACAGGGAAAAAAGGCACAAACAACAACTTGTCGTGCACACATGGTGTGTGGGAAGGGGAGTGTAGGGGGGAAAGTAGCGGCAAGAGGGTAAGAGGCAATGAAAAGTGGAGGAAGGGCCAAGGGCACGAGAGGCCACGAACGGCAGGTCATCTCTGCACGTGCTAAGGAACTGAGGGCCCTTTGAGAAATGAATGATCATCTGCAATAGAAGTTCTAATGCCTCTCCTTGCATTTTCTCTGATACATTTGTAAGACGAAGGATCTCACCTCTGTGAGTGCAAAGACACCAATATCATTTGAGCGGAGGGGAGAGCCCCTGCATTGACTTTTGAGCCGACCGAAAGTCAACTCTGTACGACAAAGGCTCTCACCTCTGTGAGTGCAAAGACACCGATATCATTTGAGCGGAGGGGAGAGCCCCTGCGGAGGAACTTGCTTCCTTGAAAGATGTAGAGCATGGGGACGCCAGTGGACAGCTCCAGCTCTATCACCTGCAGAGTTTCATTTCAAAAGGCAACAGCAGTCAGAATCAGAGGGGTCAGAGAGGTGAATTCGGACTCGGACTATAAGATGCTTCCGTGGAAAATGTAGAGCATGGGGACAGCCATGGACAGTTCCAGCTCTATCACCTGCAGCGCATCGCACATCATGTCAAAACGCAACGGCAGTGAAAATAAGAGGGATTAAAAACAGTGCAAACACATTTCATAGCACAGGTGAAATTCCAACACGGAAGCGTAAATCGAGTAACTCCACTTCCAACCCAGCCTGCTTCTACTCCCATTCCACACCATCCCTGACAGACTACGGACAAGAAACAATTATTGCACAATGAATAAATTTGCTCATATCTCTCTTCACCAGTTTCCCACACTTACCCACCCCTGGCTTACACCTAACCTTGGTACAGACAAGGCCAAAACAGGACATGCTAACGCGATCATAGATCAGAAGTTGAGACGGTTATAACGGAACAATTCACATGGCATATGACATACCTCCGCGAGGCGTCACTGTCAAGGCACTTGATGAAGCGAGCATGGAGTAGCCACTGAAGCGAGCATGGAGTAGCCACGAGCGTAATGTAACATCACATTTCACATTTCACAGTTCACAATTCACCCGAAAATGACATACCTCCTGCGAGGTGAGGCTGTCAAGGTACATGACATTCGCGCGAAGGGAGTTGCCATGCGCGGCGATCATCACATTCTCGCCCGCAGTGAGTCTCGGCTCCACATGGTGTTTGAAATAAGCCACAGCGTGCACGGCGCACATGGCAAGCTGATCATAGCGCTCCCTTTTCTCAGCGCTCCTTCGCACTGAACGGAACATAGCAGTTCATGCAGCACGTGACATACCTCCTGCGACGTAAGGCTGTCAAGGTACATGATGATCGCGCGAAGCGAGTTGCCATGCGCAGCAATCATCACATTCTCGCCAGCCGTGAGTCTCGGCTCCACATTTTCCTTGAAGTATGCCACAGCGCGCTCCGCGCACATGGCGAGGGACTCGCCGTTGGGAGGCGGGACGTCGTAGGATCGGCGCCAGAGGACGACCTGCTCCATGCCGTATTTGTCTGCCGTTTCCTTCTTGTTCAGTCCCTGGAGATCTCCGTACCTGTTTGACACAAGGAACGTCAGGGTTGGGAAAGGATGGAAGGGGGGTGCAAAGGCAAGGCACAAGGGACGCCAATGAGAAACTTGTTTGACTGCTGACTCCTGTTCGACCCTCGGCTCCACGTTGTCCTTGAATATGCCACAGCGCGCTCAGCGCACATGGCCAGGGACTCTCCATTGGTAGGCGGGACGTCGTATGATCGGCGCCAGAGGACGACTTGCTCCGTGCCACACTTGTCTGCCGTCTCCTTCTTGTTCAAACCTTGGAGTTCTCCGTAGATGAAGGTCAGGGTTGGGAAAGGTTGGATTGGGGATGCACGGGTAAGGCCTAAAGACGCGTATGACTGACTTGTTTGACTGCTGACTCCCGGTTCAGTCCCCGGATTCGCTGCTCACGGTTGACTCAAACGTTGGATTCTCACGGCAGGTTGGAAAATTTTGGTCGTGTGAGGGAGGGTGGGATACAGATTTTCCAGGAATCCGTTTCCGGTATCTGATCTCTTATAAGTCCTTGGACGACTGGCGAACGACTGGGGAGCATGCGCATTCTCGGTTTAGCACGAGTCAATGTGCTTCAGCTAAACGTGCTATTGCGGATTGAGACCAGACAGAATGCACACCACAGAACCAAAAGCAAACATAAGGACTGTGAGACTCACATGCGTTCATTGAGCTCCCACGCAGTGATGACGGGAATGATCTCCTCGTCAGTGTTCTCGCTGAAGATTCGGCTCCAGTCCTTGGCTCTCTGGCTCTCCTCATGCAGGATGACAGGAACCTGAATGAACACGAATGATAAAAGAACCAGGAAAAGCGAAGCGGGTGAAGATAGTACCGAGAGCTTGTCTGGGTTGAAGTATGGTCGAAGACCCCTGACATTGCAGTGCAGGGGGTGTGTAACCTGTTCCGACGTTAACCTTTATTAGGTGTTCTATCAGGAATGAAAACCATAATTCACACGCGCAAATTTAGCTTCAAACGAAAAAGGAAAGAACATTCACTTCTCCCTCGTGAAGGTTTTAAGGCCGCTCTCACCTTGTTACGGCGATGCTGCGTCATGGCAAGCATGGCGGTCATTTGAGCGCGGATCAACGCTGAGGTGAAAATGACATCCACGGGAATCTCGGAGATTCTCTTTCCTGCCTCAATGGCCTCATTGACACCCTTCTCCGACAGAGGAACGTCCACGCAGCCTGTGAATAGGTTCTTGGAGTTCCAGAGAGACTCGCCATGTCGGATAAGGATCAGCGCAGCGGCCTCTGAGCAACACAGGTTTGGAGAATAATTAGGAAATGGAGAGTTTAAAAGGCTGTCACGGAGATTCTGACAATGGCGGGAACGTTCCGCGAAACGCACGGATGAGCGAGCGATTCCCATAAAAAATGCTTTGACTCTTTGAGGCTAATATAAGAAATTAATGCAGAAGAATTAGATATGCGATCACATACTTTCTGTCGCTGCTCCATTTTGTTGAGCGTCCGAAGCGGCCTCAGCACGAATGGCCCTCCGAACCGAAGTTGATCCTCTGCATATTATCAAACGATCCGCTTATCAGTCTTTCCGTGAAGTCCTAAGCCCAATACTCCACATGGAAGAAGTTTTAAACCTTGACTGGTGGTTGGCAAAACGAGCGATACGTACCTTGCGACCTTCGCGTGAGACTTCAGGTTGGAATGGAGGGATGTAGCTGACGCTGATCGGAAGAAGGCAGCATTCACGACAGACTTCTTTGAAACTGGATCAGAAATGCTCTTCAATGAATGACGGCAGTGAACTGCATTTCCAGCTTGAAGGGCCGCCATGTTGTGAGGATAGTGAAATATCCGGAGGTCAACGAGAAGTTACCAGCACCAAGCTGATCGAGACACGAATGTCTGTCTGGATCCAATAGCGAACAGCAGCCACTTAGGCCTTGCTCGATATCGAATAACAGCAGTTTAGACTTAGCTGAGAACAGCGGATATTATTCTTCTGGCTTTTTAGCTTACTTGGACTCCTGATTGGCTTTATCAGAAGCCAGTGAGTATTAGAAACCACTGAGCCAGCTAAAGCCTTCGCCACTCCACCACAGGACACGCTAGGGAGTGAGAAGAATCAATCACACAACCTCCAATGCAGAAACAGCCAGTCCACAAGCCAAACTCCACTTGACTCACTGAACCACTCTCGCCCACTCTCACTGAACCACTCTCTCAAATCCTTCAGCTCATGCATGATGGTTTATGTTCGGTTTACTCCGTTCCAAAGCGGTGGTCAAATGCACCGTGTTATAGCGGAATGGACCTATCTGAACCGGCTGCCAGTAAGCCTGACAACAATGCTGGCCATTCCCATGTGACACCACCACGTCATTCACACAAGCTAAGGCAGTCAGGATCCAAGGCTGAACTAGCAGCCGTTGAACCAACCAGAAAGGAACATTCCAAACCAGCATGAGCCAATCATCAACTAGAATCTGAGAACCATTTGCCAGCGAAGCCTAAATTCTCCTGCTCCGTGCCTGTAATCGACGTTCGGAAGGCTTGAAAAGGCCCGCGCATGTCAGCGTCGCCGAGCCGAGGATGCAGCTGGTCAGACCCTCGGAACAGATCATTCTCGTGAATGTTCGTGGGACGTCGCTAGGCCATAGGCGACCCTCGTGACAGCTCTTGGAAATCGCGAATTCGGGCGAGGGAAGATTACCACCGTTCGTCTCGAGGTTCTTGCAGCTGGGAGGGCTCGATCAGCCGCTCGCGCGCCATTGGATGATAAAAACGAGGTGCGCGGAAGTTCGAGGTTATGGGATCCTCCGTGTCCCGTGCCAGGACGAAACCTTCCGAACACGTGGCAAGGTTCTGTAGGCTATAAGTTAGCCAATCGAGTTTCGCTTCTTAGCCTCCAATCTAGGATTGCCATGCAAAAAAGTAGCTCATCCAATAACGATAATGGAGCGGTAAATGTCACATTCGCGTCATTCCAGATCAGCTGGCCCGGTCGCCACCACAATTCCCTCGAGCTGCTGAACCTCACCGCTGGACATTGTCCTCCTGACAGTTCCATGCCTCACGAAGTGACCTATCTGACGAAAACACTATCCGATATCCAACATAATTGGAGAGCACTCTCCTGATAATTGTAGTGGTGTAGCGAAAAACTTCTAAACGTAACAAGAATGTACTCCAACTTCCATGAAATATAAAAGCAGGTTATCAATAGGACAATTGACACCAATTTAGGTGGAACATGTTCGAGACCTTCCAGCACTTGGCCAAACGTGATTCATATTGGTGGAACATGTTGAGACACACCCAGATTTTTTAGAGTGTGGTTAAATAACAGGCCGTATCGTTGTCTACTTCGCTGGTACCTTAAAACCCGAGTTCCACAGGTTCGAGGGTAGGAAGGTTGGTTGGACCTGGTGACCAACCAAAGGTAGGAAGGTTGAGGCAACTTTGGGGAACTTGTGACTCCGGTTTTAAGGCATATACTGCCACAAGTGCCAATGCTGCCGGCCTCGCCCGCACAACCCCATTCGCTCCCGATGCTCACACGCCGCACTGCTTTCTTTTGATTGTGACAAGACTCTGAAAGGAGTCTGCAATGCAGTCGTCATAGGTCATCATCAATTTACATGGCACATGATATAGATGTAGCAAGGTTATGCAAAGCTACCCTAAGATGCAATCTAGCTACGCGTCTATGCATGTTAGGGGTGGGACGGGCGGGAACTCAAATTGAGATGAGTGAAATGAGACTAGGTGGCAGGTCTGTGGACCTGCCGAAGGATAAGATGGGAATGCCTCCTTATTGCATTCCCCTTTTTTTGAATCTTGTCACAATCATTAAATTTAGAAATATGTTTCTAAATTTTTCATATTGTGACAAGACTCTGAAAGGAGTTTGCAATGCAGTCGTCATAGGACAAGCGAAACATTACGGTAGTGGGCGGTGGCGGGCGCGGCCCACAGTGGCCGCATAGCGGGTTGTAGGGCTCTGTCGAGATGGATCTTGCATAAGTCGCGACGCGTGAATCAATTCCGAGTCGAGTTGGGTGACGTACATCTCCTTCGCACCATCGCTACGCCACCGCCCGAGAGCTTTGAAGAGGCGATCCGGAACCCCAGCATCAACAGCGAGTGTGGCTGCCGTCTTACGAAATGAGTGTGTTCCGAGGGTAGAAAGATCCAAGCCGACACGAGCGAAGACCTCACGACACCAATTCCGAACGGTAGTGTAGGACGGAGGGGCGTCCGACGGCAGCGCGCCCGAACCTGGCCGAAAGACACGAATGAGAGAGCCGAGGGAAGCGTGAGAGAACCCCGCCAAAAAGAGAAATTCTTTAACGCGAGCAACTGGGCAATGGCGAGCGTTCGATATAGCCACTAGAACCCAAGCGCCGGCGCCTCTTTGATCGGTCTTGGAATGGGGGATGAATAGCCACATGCAGTCAGAGTCGAACTCAATGTGGTGCCATTGAAGGGCAACAAGGTCGGAGAAGCGCAGAAAAGCCGAAAACATGAGGAGAGGAATGAGCCCTTTTTGAAAGACAGCGGGGTCTCGCGAGGAAAAATAAGCATCGCACATGTCGTAAATCTTGGAGGGGGGCACAGGATCCTTTGCCCGGTAGGGACGTGCACATGTGCGCTGGGCGTAGTCCTTAACTTGTGATGAGAGTGGTCCTTTAATAGGGGACGGGGCGCCTAAGAGCCAGTGAGCGCACGAGATGGCTGAACAGTTAGAGCGAACAGCTGACAGCGTCGCGCCCGACCGAATTGAGTATAGGAGGAAGAGGGCCGCGGTAAGATCATTCGCAGGAAGCGGCTGGAGCGAGTTCTTGGCGCAAAAAGTGCGATATTGCCGCCAGTATGGCTCGTACGTGCGGATGGTGGATTGGGCACGAAGGTCCACAGTGAGCGTGAGGAGGTCCATAAGAAGTCGACAAATATTGGATTCTGCCACACATAAAATATTCATGTACAGGAAAAGTCCATGCGAAGAACAATGAGTGGGGAGTTAGGTAGCCTTGATCCACTAAACGCATGCACGTCACTACCGAGTGCCTGACAGACAGCACCAATATCTTGAGTTGGGAGTGGTGGCACGGAGTGGATTAGCGTCCCTGGAGGGTGGGAGGCCGTAACGAAACGTAAATAGACATATATGTACCGTAAGCACGTCCCTTTGGGCAAAGGGGATATAGCATGGCGAGGCCCTCCCCGCTTCTCCCACTTTCTTCTTCTTCTTCCTTGTTTGTTTGGTTTTTTTTTTTTTTTTTTTTGAACTTCAACCATTAAACATTTCAATGTCCACAAGCAGTGCTATAATTTGCAAAGCATTCACGCATTAAAATATGCAAAGTGGTCAATCAGACAATGCGCGCGAGCTGGTTCGCTCCTTGTTCGCGCTTGGGGCACTGGGCAAAGCCATGTCCCGGTTCATTGCAAATGAAGCAACGCCCATCCCCGTCGCGGCGCCACTTGTTCCAAGAGCGTTCGCCGTTGCCCCTACCACGGTTGTTCTGGTTGTACCGCTGAGGGTAGGAGGTGGTATGATCGGGGCGACTCTTTTTCATCGCCGCCACAATTTGAGCGGCGGACTTAACAGTCTTATCCTCCACCACCTCTCCATATTTAATCTTTAGGGCCACGTTGGCCACGTCAAAGCCGCGCTGGTCAGCGGCACAACCCCATTCGCTCCCGATGCTCACACGCCGCACAGCTTTCTTTTGATACACAAACCAACCCAGCGCGATAGTGGTGGTAGCGGTGGTGGTGGTGCCGCTGCCTCTGCTGCTGGAGGAGTTGCTGTTGGATAAGAGTCTCCTCCAAGCACATCTTCTAGATTCTTTAATATACGCCCCGATTCAGGCTGCGGCAACAGGTCCTCAAACATTCCATGGTCGACTGAAAAGAAGTAACCTCAGTGCTCATTCTCTAGGCCGAGAATCTCCTCCAGACTCCTTATAACATGCCCCAATTTAGGCCGCTGTAACGGGTCCTCATTCACGCACTGCTTCCCAAGCATAAGCAGCTTCGTTGCCCCTTCTCTACTGTACACTCCGCGCAGCCTCTTGTCCATAACGGTACACAAGTTGAAGGGGACAGATGAATGCACATCTTCCTGCTCCTGTTGCTCCCACTGATGCTGCTGCTGCTGTTGTTGTCGATCTCGTTGCTGCTCCAGCTGCTGATGTTGCTGCTTCTTGTGACGTTCCCCCCCCTCCCACCGATGCTGCTGCGGCTGTTGCTGCTGTTGTTGTTGCTGCTGCTGCTGCTGCTTCTGCTCCTCCTCCTCCTGCTGCTGCTGCTCCTCCTCCTGCTGCTGCAGCTGCAGTACAGACTGTTCACAGCGATCCAAGTGTGTGAGAGCCCAGGGCAGGAGGCAGCGGCTCTTCTCAGCAGCACCAGGCGACCTGCCTGTTGCCAGCTCCAAAAGCACCACCCCCAGCGAGTAGATGTCACTGCGCGCGGTGAGGTGGCCTGGAGGGGGAAATGGTTGGGTTGGGAGCATTGGATGGCACACACAAATGTGGTTCAGTGCTCTTCAGTGTGGTGGGTGTTGCGAGCAGCAGCACCCGGCGACCTGCCTGTTGCCAGCTCCAGCAGCACCACCCCCAGCGAGTAGACGTCACTGCGCGCTGTAAGGTGACCTGCAGACATGAGGGTGGGGATGGGGGGAGGAGTGCCTACAGCCATGAGGCGACCTGCCTGTTGCCAGCTCCAAAAGCACCACCCCCAGCGAGTAGATGTCACTGCGCGCGGTGAGGTGGCCTGGAGGGGGAAATGGTTGGGTTGGGAGCATTGGATGGCACACACAAATGTGGTTCAGTGCTCTTCAGTGTGGTGGGTGTTGCGAGCAGCAGCACCCGGCGACCTGCCTGTTGCCAGCTCCAGCAGCACCACCCCCAGCGAGTAGACGTCACTGCGCGCTGTAAGGTGACCTGCAGACATGAGGGTGGGGATGGGGGGAGGAGTGCCTACAGCCATGAGGCGACCTGCCTGTTGCCAGCTCCAGCAGCACCACCCCCAGCGAGTAGACGTCACTGCGCGCTGTAAGGTGACCTGCAGACATGAGGGTGGGGATGGGGGGAGGAGTGCCTACAGCCATGAGGCGACCTGCCTGTTGCCAGCTCCAGCAGCACCACCCCCAGCGAGTACACGTCACTGCGCGCTGTGAGGTGGCCTTGAGTAAGCGAAGGAAGAAGGGGGTAGGGGGTATTGGGAGGGGGTTGGGGGTGGGTGGAGGGAAGGAGTGTTGGGTGTTCTCAGCACAGCAGCACCCGGCGACCTGCCTGTTGCCAGCTCCAGCAGGACCTCTCCCAGCGAGTAGACGTCACTGCGGGCCGTCAGGTGGCCCAGAGGGAAGAGGGGGGAGGGAGGGGTGTGGGGGGGTGGGGGAAGGGATACCTATGGGCATGAGGCGACCTGCCTGTTGCAAGCTCTAGCAGCACCACCCCCAGCGAGTACATGTCACTGCGTGCGGTCAAGTGGCCTGACGGGGACAGAAATGGGGGGCGGGGGTTGAGGAGGCATCAGCTCAACAGCACCGCTCCCAGCGAGTAGATGTCACTGCGTTCCGTCAGGTGGCCTGGAGGGAGGAGGGAATAAGGAAAAGGGAAGGGGTGAGGGGTTATCCGCTCAACAGCAGCACCGCTCCCAGCGAGTATATGTCACTGCAGGCCGTGAGGTGGCATGAGGGAAAAGGGGGGCATGCAGGATCGAAGGACACTTCAAGTGGAATAACGCGTACTAATACCTCACTGAACCCATTTTTACCACACTGCACCCACCCATCTCCACCACAATGAACCACGGTGAACCCCTCCTCACCTGTGTTGATGTACGAAGGGTCCAGGTAATCCAGGGTGCCGACGATGCGAGTCGAAACATGCGACTTGCCCACCCACCCACCATCCCACCAACCAACTCATGTTAATCCCCATTGGGCACCCATCTCCACCGCACTGAACCGCATTGAACCACTCTGAACCCCTCCGCACCTGTGGCGATGTATGCAGGGTCCAAGTACCCCAAGGTCCCCGTGACAGGTGTTGATACGTGCCAATTGCCCAGCCCACCCACAGCCCCACAACACACTCTTGCTGTCCGCATTGGGCACCCATCTCCACCGCACTGAACCCCTCCTCACCTGTGTCGATGTATGAAGAATCCAAGTACCCCAAGGTCCCCGTGACGCGTGTTGATACGTGCGACTCGCCCAACCCACCCACAGCCCCACTCATGCTATCCGCATTGGCCACCCATCTCAACCGCACTAAACCGCACTGCACTGCACCGAACTGCACATAACCGGGCCTCACCTGTGTCAATGTACGAAGGGTCCAAGTACCCCATTGTCCCCATGATGCGAGTAGACACATGCGACTTGCCTGCCTTAGGCCCTGCTGTGGCCACTCCCTACCCCACAATCCATGTTCATCCACCTCAATCGCACTGAACAGCACTAAACCGCACTCAACCAATGTAAACCCCTCTGTACCTGTGTCAATGTACGAAGGGTCCAGGTACCCCATTGTTCCCATGATGCCCGTCAACACATGCGACTTGCCCACCCACTGCCGCACAGCATAACTCGAGTTTGTCCAGTTTGGCACCCATCTCCACCGCACTAAACCGCACCTCACCTGTGTCTATATACGCAGGGTCCAAGTACCCCATTGTCCCCATGATGCGCGTAGACACGTGCGACTTTCCCGCCTCGGGCCCTGCAGTTGCCATCCCGAAATCCGTCAGCTTTGCACGCATGTGCTGCGGAGTGGGGAGAAAGGATGAGAGAAAGGGAAAGATATCAGAATGCGAAGGAGCGTGCGACTTGCCCGCCTCGGGCCGTGCAGTTGCCATTCCGAAATCCGTCAGCTTCGCATTCATGTGCTGTGGAGGGGTGGGGGGGAGGGGAGGGAAAGGGGAGAGGAAAGGGAGAGGTGTATTCGACAACTGATGTCAGGATGAGAGGGCTTTTGAGGCGCCTCAAAAAGGGGGGGAGGGAAAGGGGAGAGGAAAGGGAGAGATGTATGCAACAACTGATGTCAAAATCTGTCAGATCTGTCAGATCCGTCAGATCCGTCAGATCCGTCAGATCCGTCAGAAAGGAAACGATGGACAACTGAGACGGAAAGATGTCAGAATGAGAGGGCGGGTGAGAGAGCAGGTTGCGACGGAGGGCAAGAGGGAGGTTGAGGTTGAGCTCATAGCAGGGTGAGCTGACAGCAGGGTGAGCTGACAGCAGGGTGAGCTGACAGCAGGGTGAGCTGACAGCAGGGTGAGCTGACAGCAGGGTGAGCTCACAGCAGGGTGAGCTGAGCTCCTGCTGTGGCCATTCAAGAAATCATTGGCTGTGTGCCGTTGTTAGTTACCTCATCCTGCTGCCCACAGTACACCAGTGCAGATACACCCTGTACGCGTTATTACCACATCCAGCAGAATGTTGCTTGTCTTGAAGTCCCGGCGAATCACGTTCTGCCCGTGCAAATACACCCTATACGCGTTATTACCTCATCCAGTAAAATGTTGCACGTCTTGAAGTCCCTGTGAATCACGTTCTGCCCGTGCAGGTACTCCAGCCCTCTTGCCACGTCCACAGCTATGCGCACGCGCTGCTGCCACGTCAGCACAGGCGTGGCGGGATCAACGGCACTGGCAGCAGCACCAGACACACCCCTAGCCGCTGCAGCAGCTGTAGCAGCAGCATCCCGTATAGCAGCATCATCTATAGCAGCAGCGTTATCTGTAGCAGCCTCACTCATACCCCCCCAACTCCGCTTCCTCTCCTCCTCCTCCCCCTCCTGCTGCTCCTCCTGCTGACGTGGATACAGCCACGTGTGCAGATTCCCCCTCTCTATAAGCTCATACACCAGCAATGCAGCAGCACCCCCCCGGGGCCGATTCAAGTCCACACAGTACCCTAGCAGCCGCACCAGATTAGGGTGGTTTAAACTTCCAAGCATTATAATCTCTGACATACACTCATCTACGGCCTTGAAACTGCCGCTGTGTAGCACCTTCACTGCCACGTCACGCTGACGTGGCGTCCCACCTCCACCACCACCACCACCTGAAGCACCACCACCCGCTCTTCCTGCTCTTCCTGCTCTCCCTGCTCTTTCTTCCTCGTTCCTCTGCGCTTTCCCTCCTCCTCCTCTCTCCTCCCCTGGAACCTTCCTGTCATCTTCCTCGCCGAGCCACTCCTCCACCGAGCCTCGGTACACCGTGCCGAAGCTGCCGCGGCCCAGGATCTGGCTCGGGCCGAACCACTGCGTGGCCTGCTGTAGCTCGCGGTAGGTGAACCGGCGGAGTGGTAGCGTGGACCAGGTCTCGTCCGTTGTTGTGAATCGGCTGCCTGTCACTGGCAGGTGGAAAGGAGGGGAATAGGGACAGGAGGGGAAGAGGGGCAGGAGGGGAAGAGGGGCAGGAGGGGAAGAGGGGCAGGAGGGGAAGAGGGGCAGGAGGGGAAGAGGGGCAGGAGGGGAAGAGGGGCAGGAGGGGAAGAGGGGCAGGAGGGGAAGAGGGGCAGGAGGGGAAGAGGGGCAGGAGGGGAAGAGGGGCAGGAGGGGAAGAGGGGCAGGAGGGGAAGAGGGGCAGGAGGGGAAGAGGGGCAGGAGGGGAAGAGGGGCAGGAGGGGAAGAGGGGCAGGAGGGGAAGAGGGGCAGGAGGGGAAGAGGGGCAGGAGGGGAAGAGGGGCAGGAGGGGAAGAGGGGCAGGAGGGGAAGACACAGGAAGAGAGGCAGGTCTCGTCCTTTTGAGAATCGGCCACTTGCCTTTGAAAATGCTTAAGAGCCAGATCGGCGGAGTGGTAATGCGGACCAGGTCTCGTCCTTTTGAGAATTCTCAAAAAAACATACTCCGTTGAGAGGGGCACTGGTAGTGCCCCTCATCCGTGGTTGTGAATCGGCTAGTGCCGGACACTGGTAGGAGGGGAAGACGTGGGGAGAGGAAGGAGGGGAGGCAGGAGGGGAGGCAGGAGGGGAGGCAGGAGGGGAGGCAGGAGGGGAGGCAGGAGGGGAGGCAGGAGGGGAGGCAGGAGGGGAGGCAGGAGGGGAGGCAGGAGGGGAGGCAGGAGGGGAGGCAGGAGGGGAGGCAGGAGGGGAGGCAGGAGGGGAGGCAGGAGGGGAGGCAGGAGGGGAGGCAGGAGGGGGGCAGGAGGGGAGGCAGGAGGGGAGGCAGGAGGGGAGGCAGGAGGGGAGGCAGGAGGGGAGGCAGGAGAGGAGGATAGGCAGGATGGGAGGCAGGAGGGTAGGCAGGAGGGGAGGCAGGAGGGTAGGCAGGAGGGGAGGCTGGAGGGATTGGTCCTTGAGAGCCAGAAACTACTAGCTTGGTGGAGTGCTGCTGACGTGGTCCAGGTCTCATCCGATGTTGTGAATCGACTAGTGCCTGACACTGGCAGGGAGGGAAGACATGGGAAGAGAGGCAGGAGAGGTCGTGTGAGATTAAGAGGAGCCACCGCGTGGCCTGCTGGAGGTGGAGGTGAGGTCACTTTGAGGAGGCGAGGCTGCACGCGATGGAGTGGACGGCAGCCAAGCCATGTAAGTGGAACCACGGCCGTGAGCGGTGCACGTGGCAGCACGCGCCAGCACCCACCTGAGGAGGCGCGGCTGCAGGCGATGGAGTGGACGGCAGCCAAGAAGTACAAGGGGAAGGGGAAGGGGAAGGGGAAGGGGAAGGGGAAGGGGAAGGGGAAGGGGAAGGGGAAGGGGAAGGGGAAGGGGAAGGGGAAGGGGAAGGGGAAGGGGAAGGGGAAGGGGAAGGGGAAGGGGAAGGGGAACCGACCACGACTTTGGTCGGCGCTGGCGAGGAGATGAAGAAGAAGGTCTATACTGAGAGCAAGAGAAATGAAGAATACTGCGAACAAGAGCAAGAGAAGAAGAAGAAGAAGCGCAAGTGGCAGCACGGACCTGAGGAGGCGAAGCTGCAGGCGATGGATTGGACGGCTGCGAAACCGTGCAAGTGGAAGTGGAACCACGATCGTGGTTGGCGGCGCTGGGGCATCAGCGACATGCTTCGCGGACCGCGGCCTTTATTCAGCCTGCTCTCGCAGCAGCCCATGATGGCTTAGCGGTGGCGGCGGACGAAGCGAAAACCTTTTTTTTTTCTAGGGCGCCTAATAAAAACAGCAGCCCATGATGGCTTAGCGGTGGCGGCGGACGAAGCGGAAACCTCCTTTTTTTTTTTTTTTTTTTTTTTTTTTTTTTTAGGGCGCCTAATAAAAACAGCAGCCCATGGTGGCGTCCAACATAATCAACCCATGGCGGTGTTAAAAAGACTACCGGGGTGGCGACTGCACCCAGAAGTTGCTTCTGAGTCGACTCAAATGTCGGTGCCACGTCTAACCATGGCGCCCAAGTGCCGTCTCCTCAGCCTATGGCTGGCTGCCAGCGGCGGGCCTCGAGTTGAGCGGTGCAGAGGGTCACTTTTTGACGGTAACCTACTAGTCGCTAGCACATAGGAGTTGGACAGATACCTCTAATTCGTCGCGCGCAAATCACTAATTTCCAAGGCGCGTGAAAATGTCCATTCAAGTGCCTTTGATTAGCGGTTGTTCGAAGTTTTTTTAGAAAGCTGGCGAGAAACATACCGTGTCCCTTTTACTAGAACTAGTACGCGACGCCAGTGGACGCGTCCTAAAATGGTGGACTGATTAAAGTGGTGCAATATGGTGCACGAGTGCGCGAGAGATAAGCTGAGCAGTTTCAGTAATTAATAGGCTGCAGCAAAAAAATCGAGTGGCTTCACAGCAGTGGGAGATATGAAAGCCGTCCTTCCCAGGCATCCAAAGCAACCATGAGTATGTCTAGTAGAATCATTCACATGCAAAGCAGTTTTGTGGGTTGCATTACGGTTCAGAATGGAAAAACGCCGAAAATCGTTGTTGAATGCTTGGAAACGCACTGAACCGCACTAGAGATTTGTTTTGTGGAAAACCATAGGCTACACGGAGGAGCAGCAAACCTTGCTGAGCGTCTCGGCAATAAGGACGACGACTTTCCACCGTACGATAAGTGAGTATCTGCCGTTCGATTATCAATGCTGACAAGGCATCGCGCCGCCTGAGGCTGGTTTCGTCTGCAGTAACGTTACGTTACGTCTGTCGCTGTTGCAGTTTCGCAACAGCCGCGTGCTTTACCTGCTTCAAACGAGACGCTTCCACGTGGCTGCCAAAAGGGATGTCCTGCTTTAACTCTCGATACGGAGATACTTCGATTCTGTACTTAAAATAGTATGAATTGAGTTATACAATTATCTGGACCGCGAGTGCCGTGTTTTCCTTGTGTTACCTCAAAATAGCGCTTCGGCAGCTGGTCAGCAGCAGGTCTGACACAATTGCAAGTAACCAATGAATCGTCGCATCCTGGTGGACCAGGCCAGAAACAAACCTGCAACTTCTGAACCAAAGCACACAATTTGGCGGGAAACACCCTCGAACCGAGCTGTATAAAGCCAAGCCTCACTGTTTTCGCTGAAAGCAAATCACAGAGCGACACATGACTTCCCGCCCCAGCGAAAATTTGGCCTGGCGAATCTGGAAGTCTTGGTGATGATGCTGAACATGGAGCTCCAAAATGTTTCGGCCAACTTCATACATACTCAGATTAGTCCCGAGCGGGCTCTCAGGTGTAATCAGCCTGGACTTTCTCGACGTTGATTGGTCGTCGCTTTTTAGTCACACTGTTTACGCTGGTCGAAATGTTTGGGAGGTGACAAAAAGAGGACTATCTAGTTTACCCTCCCGACTTGGATTTGTTAAACTAAAGTACGTAAATTTACGACAGGGCAGAAAAATAAACCCCTAAAGAATCTGGAAGCATTTGCGGGAGGGATCAACCCTAAACACGGTAAAGGGCATTGTTTTTAGGGTCGATGCCTCCCGAGTCGCATCCCTTCTCGATTGGGTTTTATTTTTTTGGTCAAGAGGGTGCAATATATTTTTCATGAAGTGGGCGACTTCCCGTAGTTGAGGTTGATCTGTCTCGAAATTCATCTAGGTTCGCTACAAGTTTTTTTTTCAGGTGTTGCATTTTCTGTCGTGACTGTATCCAGAGAATAACAAGAAACACTTACTACTATATCGCGAAACTGAGTTTCTGTTGGAGATTACACCTGAGAATCCGCTCGGGAATACTTTGAGTATCTATGATATTGGCCGAAAACGTTTTGATGATGATTTTCGAGTGCGGGTGGTGTTGCACATTTCGATTTCAAAAACCACGGTTCGGTATGGTTTGTTTTGGTCGTAAGCGTTGAAGTACTGAAATCGCTGTCTATCGTGTGGTACCATACGGTAACGCGCTTCTCCATCATCAAACAAACCTGCCACCAGGCTTTCCTGACCAAGTTTGCTAGTCAAGCGATCTGCTACCAGCAATGGCTCCAATGTGTGCTTCGGTTGAAGGGATGGAGATTTCGAAGATTGCATAACCATGCCGACCCATCACCAAACCAGAGTTAGCTTCCGTGGTTCTCGATTTTTCAACTCATTCTGCACGTAAGACTTCGAATGCTGGCAGATGTGACTCGCGAGAGAACTAGAACAATCATACAGACAGTAGTGGCGACCTCAGTTATACGCTAGTTTATGTAGATGAGGAACGTTTCAGCAACAGAATGACGAAAGCTGGAGATCCGTCTGCCATGGCGGACCATCGAGCAGAAAGGCATGGAATTGCCGAACCGTCAGCCACGCCGCGATCGTCATCGATTGGTGGTAGTTTCGGTTCATCAATCCCAAGTCCTGTAGTTAAACAACGGTTACTATTCCAGTCACCACAAGGAGCATCGGAAGTCCTTATAGCGAAGGAAAACGGTCCAGGTAAGGAGGGAGGCTCTGGTATTCCAGTGTCACCCAGGCCTGGCCTCAAACCTCCAGGAACGGTCACTAGTCTCCGAACCTCGTGGACACCTTCGTCGCGCCTTCCGTCGAACCTGCCGCGTAGGTCAGGCTCGGGTCAAGGCTCGGAGGACGCAGGGGAGCTGAGCCGGACCAGCTCAGCAAGCTCGGATGCCGGAAGCAGGTTCGGGACGGAAACTCCGGGCAGGAGTAGCGCGAGTGACGCCGCGAGTGCTAGTAGAATCCATTACAATGGTGGAGGGAAGGCGACTGGAGTCCTGCGTCCGAGTAATCATGGTACGTTACACCCGTTAAGGTGTAGTTCATTACCTTGAAGAAAAAATATTATATGTTATGTAACTGCGGCGTCCGCAGTATACCTGTTTCATAACTGTAGATATTACAAGCGGCGCTTTTTAAGTCTGTCTCCTCAGTCTGTTTCCCTTTTTAAGATCCCCGTCATCCTTTTTCGTCAACTCTGTAAATTTCGTAACACCCGTTTCGCACGGATGCTTTTCCTCGCTGTCCCCGGTAACAGCTGGCGAGCAGGCGGCCTCGTTAGCTGCTGACGTCAAGCCGGAAAGGAGATCGCACCCTGGGCAGGAGCAACGGCAGCGTCAGCAGGATTCGATGCACCAGCAGCATGAGCAGCAGCATGAGCAGCAGCATCTGCAGCAGGCGCATCAGGCTGGTGGTAGGTTCGGCTTCAAATCCCCCTCATTGCAAAACCATCGGCAGCACGAATCGCAGCCAACGTCGCCGCTGCTGGCGGCGCAGCAGCCGCGAGGTCACATTCAGCCGGAAGAACGCGTAATTGGAAGCTTCTCCGCAGTTCCGGACGGGTCGGACCGGAGGCTCAGCTTCGGAAGGGTGGAGTCGCAGCTTCGGGTGAAAGAGATGAGAGGCTTGGAGAGGAAAGGTTCGGAAAGGAGAGCCGTTGGGGGAGGTCGGGAGGGGGTTACGCGCGCGGGGGACGGGGAGGAAGCGGCGGAGGAGGAGAGGCGGAGGGAGATTGAGAGGGAGAGAAAGAGGGAGATAGAGAGGGCGATAGAGAGGGAGATGGAGGTTGCGCGAGAGTGGGAGGAGAAGGAGAGGGCGGAGAGGGAAGAGAGGGAGGAGAGGGAGAGGTTGCTGAAGGAAGAAAGGGAGAAAGAGAGGAAGGAGAAGGAGAGAAGAGTTCAGGAAGAGAAGGCAAGGCGTGAACGAGAAGAGAAAGAGAGGGTTGAGAGGGAGAGAGCAGAGAGGGAACGGAAGGAGAGGGAGAAGGCTGAACGGGAAAAGATGGAGAAGGAACGGAAGGAGAGGGAGAGGAGGGAAAGGGAGAGGTTTGAGAGGGAGAGGGTGGAGAGGGAGGAAAGGGAACAGCGGGAGAGAATGGAGCGAGAGTTGGAGGAGCGGAGGGAGAAGGAGAGGCAAGAGGAGCTGGCGAAAGTGAGACAGAGGGAGCGAGAGCGGTTGAGAGAGATTGAGCTGCAGATGGAGCGACAGAGGCATGTGCGAATCGCAGAAGAACGGCAGAGGGAGAAGGAGAGGGCTGAGGAGCGAGAGAACGAGCGGCGGAGAATGGAAGAGGGGGAGAAGGAGCGGGAGAGGGAGAGGGAGAAGGAGAGGGAGAGGGTGAGAGTGGAGCAGAGGCAGAGAGAGGAGGAGCGGCGGGTGAGGCAGCAGAAAGAAGTCCAGAGGCGAAAGGAGAGGCGCGGAGATGAGCTATCAGGGAAGGCCATGGGGGATCCTCTTCGTGTGATCGCCTGGGTTGCGGGAGCAGGAGTGTCGTCTGCTGCTTTCGGCGAGCCATCCAGCTCGTTTGGAGCACCTTATCAGGTATAAGTTGTGGAATTTTGTTAAGCGGCCATGGGGGGGGGGGTATCCTCTTCGTGTGATCGCCTGGGTTGCGGGAGCAGGAGTGTCGTCTGCTGCTTTCAGCGAGCCTTCTGGCTCGTTTGGTACGCCATATAAGGTAAAACTGAAAGAGGAGCTGAGATTTCCTTAAAATTGCAGCCAAAGGAGACAAGTGCACACATGCCCTTTGCGTTGCGCTCGTAGGTTGGTTCAGCGTGCCATATTGAGTGTTTTTGTTGCCGTGATTGTTCCTAATGATGCGATTGGAGGTTGATGGTGATTGGTTGATCATCGTATTGTGCATGTATTAGGTGTGTCTATGTATGTCCAACTCGTGTTTGTTCTTTCCCTGGGCTTCGGATCATTCTCAGATTGTACGTGATTTAATCACGTGATCGTATGTGTGTCCACTTCGTGTTTTCTCTTTTCCAGGCGTCTCCGGATCATTCTCAGGTGCTGCAGCAGTGGGTGCAGAGAGCAACCCACTTCCACAGCAGGCTGGGATCTGACGTGGCTCCAGCTGACGTGGCTCCAGCTGACGTGGCACCAGCGTCAGCTGTAGCGGACTTTTGGCAGGGTGTTAGGGCAGCAGTGGAGGCGGCAGAGGATGTGGCTATAGCGGGGGATGAGGAGCAGCAGGAGGGCGTGGCTGTGACTGTAGGCGCGTGTGACTTAGCTGCAGTGCGACAGCTGCAGGGGAATGCGAGGAAGCGAGGTAAGATGCCACTAGCAAACCATCCACCCCACCTACCAACCACCCTTCCCTTAGCCTTTTCTCCTCAACCCCACCTGGGTGCTATTTTGTCCTTTATGTTCACATTCCCCCAATCTCTCATTCCCCCAATCTCTCATTCCCCCAATCTCTCATTCCCCCAATCTCACATTCCCCCAATCTCTCATTCCCCCAATCTCTCATTCCCCCAATCTCTCATTCCCCCAATCTCTCATTCCCCCAATCTCTCATTCCCCCAATCTCTCATTCCCCCAATCTCTCATTCCCCCAATCTCTCATTCTCCCAATCTCTCATTCCCCCAATCTCTCATTCCCCCAATCTCTCATTCCCCCAATCTCTCATTCCCCCAATCTCTCATTCCCCCAATCTCTCATTCCCCCAATCTCTCATTCCCCCAATTTCCTATTCCCCCAATCTCTCATTCCCCCAATCTCTCATTCCCCCAATCTCTCATTCCCCCAATCTCTCATTCCCCCAATCTCTCATTCCCCCAATCTCTCATTCCCCCAATTTCTCATTCCCCCAATCTCTCATTCCCCCAATCTCTCATTCCCCCAATCTCTCATTCCCCCAATCTCTCAGTCTCCCAATTTCTCCTTCACCCCCCTCTCCATCCCCCAGTGGCAGCAGCAGAGGCGATGGCGCAGCAGGTGGGGGCATTCGAGTCCACGTGTGGGGCAGCTGGACGGGGAAGCGAGGAGGCACTTGTGATTCCCAGAACCTCATTCTCTCCTCTCTTATCCACAACCCCCCCCCCTCATCCTGCAGTGGCAGCAGCAGAGGCGATGGCGCAGCAGGTGGGGGCGTTTGAATCCACGTGTGGGGCAGCAGGGCGGGGAAGCGAGGAGGCGGTTAGGGTGGCCATTCAACAGCTGATGGAGTGAGTATGAGTGCTGCTGCTGCTTCTGCTGCTGCACTGCTGCTGCTTTCCCCCTCCCACTCCTTTCCCCCCTCCCATTCCATTGCCCCCTCCCATTCCCTTTCCCTCTCCCACTCCCTTTCCTCCTCTCACTCCCTTTCCCCCCTCCCATTCCCTTGCCCCCTCCCATTCCCTTTCCCCCTCCCACTCCCTTTCCTCCTCTCACTCCCTTTCCCCCTCCCATTCCCTTTCCCCCTCCCACTCCCTTTCCTCCTCTCACTCCCTTTCCCCCTCCCATTCCCTTTCCCCCTTCCCACTCCCTTTCGGCCTCTCACTCTCTTTCCCCCTCCCACTTCCTTTCCCCTCTCTCACTCCCTTTCCCCCTCCCATTCCCTTTCCCCCTCCCACTCCCTTTCCGCCTCTCACTCCCTTTCCCCCTCCCACTTCCTTTCCCCCCTCTCACTCCCATTCCCCCTCCCACTTCCTTTCCCCCCTCTCACTCCCATTCCCCCTCCCATTCCCTTTCCCCCTCCTAATTCCTTTCCGCCTCCCACACCCTTTCCCCCTCCCACTCCCTTTCCCCCCTCCCACTTCCTTTCCGCCCCCCACTCCCTTTTCCCCTCAAACTCCCTTTCCCCCTCCCACTCCCTTTCCCCCCTCTCACTCCCTTTTCCCCTCCCACTCCCTTTCCCCCTCTCACTCACTTGCCCCCTCCCTCCTGCAGGGTCGTCGCCAATCAAGGCCTCACACTCCATAGGCTTTCCGCTACAGCTGCTACAGCTGCTCCCGCTGCTACAGCCCCTACAGCCGCTACAGCCACTACAGCCGCTACAGGCGGGGAGGAGGAGCAATGGGAAGATCCCTTGGTGTTGGCCGTGGGAGGGGTGGTGGGAGCAGCGGCTGCGGCACTTAAGAGCTGGCTAAGTGTCGTTGTGGAGGGGAGGAAGGGGAGGAAGGGAGGAGTGGGAGGAGGTGGAGGTGCGGGGAAGGTGGCAACTGGTGCAGGTGCATCTGGTGGGCATGTACTGTTGCAGCCGCCCAAGGCTGCTCTAGCTGTAAGTATTTGGTTTTGTGAGATTTTGCCTTTTTTCTCTCTTTGTGTGAGTCCTGGCCTCTCTGTCTGCTTGAGACGGTGTCTGTGTGAGACGGTGTCTGTGTGAGATGGTGTCTGTGTGAGACGGTGTCTGTGTGAGACGGTGTCTGTGTGAGACGGTGTCTGTGTGAGACGGTGTCTGTGTGAGACGGTGTCTGTGTGAGACGGTGTCTGTGTGAGACGGTGTCTGTGTGAGACGGTGTCTGTGTGAGACGGTGTCTGTGTGAGACGGTGTCTGTGTGAGACGGTGTCTGTGTGAGACGGTGTCTGCGTGAGACGGTGTCTGCGTGAGACGGTGTCTGTGTGAGACGGTGTCTGTGTGAGACGGTGTCTGTGTGAGACGGTGTCTGCGTGAGACGGTGTCTGTGTGAGACGGTGTCTGTGTGAGACGGTGTCTGTGTGAGACGGTGTCTGCGTGAGACGGTGTCTGTGTGAGACGGTGTCTGTGTGAGATGGTGTCTGTGTGAGTACCTGCATTTGAGGTGCCTCATAAGCTGGTTACCATGCCAAGCCATCTCACTTTCACATCACACCCATTTCTCTGTACCCCTTATAAACACATGTCGAGTCGACCTCTTCCATTCCCTCTCTTCCGATCCCACTGGTTCTCTGCATCTCCCCCTTGATGATTTCCCAGGATTTAAGGGAGGCTCGTGATGTGCTGGACGTGTGGCGGCATGAGCTGGCACGGCTGCACTCGCGCCTAGTCAGCGTCGTCTGCCGCTCCCAGCTGATGTCAGCATGCGGCCGCATGACCTGGCAGCCAGCATCGCCAGCTCAGCTCCCGGGCCAGGACCACACGATGGCCCCTGCTGACGTGGCAATGGCGTCTGCTTGCGCTTTCCTGGACCAAGCGATAGACATTCGGCAGCAGGTGAGATTTTTTCGGGCGGCAGGTTAGATTCTCTGGCCGGCAGGGTAGATTCTCCAAGTGTCTGGGAGGTGATACTGAAAGAGTTGGCTTGTGCCTATCGCCATTATCAGTTTCTTTTTGTCCTCTTTTCCATCCTTGCAGCATGAGGGGTGGGAGGAGGCGATGACAGCAGCTGCTCTGGTGTGCGACCTGGAAGCTTCCTCAGGCATCAGCAACACCGGTGGTGCTGACGTGGACAGGTGGAGGCGCTTCCTGGAGCCACTCACAGACAGCCACGTGGCAGACATTCTCGAAGGTGCGGAACATACGCAGCGGTTTACTGCTGATAGCCTGTGGAAACCTCTTCTGGTGTGGCTCCCTCCTCCCTCCCTCGTCCGATCCCTCTCAACATCTTCCAACCGCTTCCCCCACCCTCCCCTCCCCCTCTCTCCCCGCTCACACACAGGCGACCTTGCCAGCTGGCGGGCGGTGCAGGGCATCTACTGGGCGGCAGTGGCCCGGGAGGAGGAGGCACTGGCGGGGCTGCTGCAGGCGCGACTGGGGGAGGTGCCATCCGCCATGGGGCGGCTGCAGCTGCTGGCGCAGTGCTCGTCCTTTACTGCGCTGCCGCGGGTATGATTTCAGTAGGCTTGTGTTGTGTGTGGGTCTTGAGCCGACTCAATTGACTGTTCACTCCACTAGGAACGCTCTTACTTGTCCAAAGAGGGTTGTTTTGTTCACTTCAACCTTCAAGGATGGTTGCTCTCAGTTGTTCATACAGTCGTCCCACTTTTTCCCTTGCTGCTCCTCTGCCTTCCCTCCCTCTCCGTCCTCCACCCTCCTCCCCACCACCACGGCAGGTGTCAGCACGCCTGCAGCACGACTTGCAGCAAATGCTGCACGAGGTGGCAGCAGGTGAGAGGGGCGTATGACGCTTTTGAATGCCACCAGTCGAGGTGTATGGTAGTTGCAAGGCAGATGTTGCACGATAGCTGCTGCTTTCTGAAAGAATGGTGGGAGAGGTGTCTGCAACCCTTATGAGGTGTGTGCAACCCTTATGAGGTGTGTGCAACCCTTATGAGGTGTGTGCAACCCTTATGAGGTGTGTGCAACCCTTATGAGGTGTGTGCAACCCTTATGAGGTGTGTGCAACCCTTATGAGGTGTGTGCAACCCTTATGAGGTGTGTGCAACCCTTATGAGGTGTGTGCAACCCTTATGAGGTGTGTGCAACCCTTATGAGGTGTGTGCAACCCTTATGAGGTGTGTGCAACCCTTATGAGGTGTGTGCAACCCTTATGAGGTGTGTGCAACCCTTATGAGGTGTGTGCAACCCTTATGAGGTGTGTGCAACCCTTATGAGGTGTGTGCAACCCTTATGAGGTGTGTGCAACCCTTATGAGGTGTGTGCAACCCTTATGAGGTGTGTGCAACCCTTATGAGGTGTGTGCAACCCTTATGAGGTGTGTGCAACCCTTATGAGGTGTGTGCAACCCTTATGAGGTGTGTGCAACCCTTATGAGTTGTGTGCAACCCTTTTGAGAGTTCCCAAAAAGCACATTGTGTCTGCAACCTTTTGAATGTGCTGCTTCCCTGTGCCCTTACCACCCTTCCACCGCCCCCCTTCCGTTTCTTCCTTCCTCCCCCATTTATTTCCCATCCCCTTTCCCCCTCTGCTCTCCCGTCTCCATTCCCCAACTCCTTCACCTTTCCTTCCCATTCCCCAACTCCTTCACCTTACCTTCCCATTCCCCATCTTCCGTTTCCTCTCCGCCTCCCCATTCCCCCTCCCCCACTCTCCTTCCCATCCGCCCTCCCCATTCCCCTTCCCCATCCCCTTTCCCATCTCCCCTCCCCCTCCCCATCCCCCACCCCCCTCCCCACTCCCCGTCTCCCCTTCGCCAGACGTGCGAGCACTGGAGGAGCAGCTATGGCACCCAACCGCAGCCTGCCACGTGTCCTCTCTTGCCCAGCTCAGGGGCGTGCCACGTGTTGCCGCCTCAGTGGCCCGCGCCAAAGCCATTCACGGGAAGCTGAGGGCGCTAGACGCGGCCCTGCACGCTCTGCTGGGTGACAGCTGGCGCAGCGGGATTGGTCGGGCGGGGAGGGGAGGGAGCAGGAGGGGAAGAGGCGCGGGGGGAGCGGTGGGGATGGGTGGAGATGGGGAGGGAGGGGTTGAGTGTGGTGGGGCGGGGTGGGGAGCGGTGACGGACGGTGGGCTGCGGAGGTCGATTGCTCGGCTGCTGGAGGAGGCGTTGCAGCAAACGGACCCTCAGAAAGTGCGTGTTTGTGTGTGAAGAGATAACTCCCGCTACTGGCAACACCAACCATGTGCAGAAGCATGAGTGCGGAGGAGGCAGAGGAGGCCCTCAGAGGCCCTGTGCTTGCCCCCTGCTCGTCCCGCCCGCTACTAACGAGTGTCTCCCTCTCTTTTCTCCCATCCACCCATCCACTCTCCCTTCCAGACTGTCAACCCGTGGCTGCAAGAAAAGCTCGCTCCCACCACCACCACCAGCAACAACAGCAGCATGAGTGCGGAGGAGGCAGAGGAGGCCCTACGAGGCCCTGTGCTCGCCCCCTGCTCGTCCCGCCCTAACAAATCTTTCCCTCTCTCCCCTGAATCCATCCACTCTCCCTTCCAGACCGTCAATCAGTCGCTTCAAGAAAAGCTCGCTCCCCACACTGGCAGCACCAACAGCAGCAGTAGCATGAGCGCGGAGGAAGCAGAGGAGGCTGTGAGAGGCCCTGTGCTCGCCCCCTGCTCGTCCCTCCCGCCCCTAACAACTGTCTCCCTCTCCTCCCCATCTACCCATTCATCTTCATCCACTCTCCCTTCCAGACCGTCAATCAGTGGCTGCAAGAAAAGCTCGCTCCCTGCTCGTCCCCCTGCTCGTCTCCCTGCTCGTCCCCCTTACAAGTGACTCTCTCTCTCCCCCTTCGTCCATCCCTCCACTCTCCCTTCAGACCGTCAACCAGTGGCTGCAAGAAAAGCTCGCTCCCCACACTGGCAGCACCAGCAGCAGCAGCATGAGCGCGGAGGAAGCAGAGGAGGCTCTCAGAGGCCCTGTGCTCACCTCCTGCTCGTCCCGCCCGCCCCTGGCTGACGTCAGCAACAGCAGCGCGGCTACAGCCGGGGAGGAGGAGCAGGCGGAGCCGCTGCTACAGCTGCAGGTGAGGGGGAGAGACAATGAGGGGTGGAAGGTTAGGGGAGGAAGGTTAGGGGTGGGACACTGGCAGGTGAGGGATGGAAGGTTAGGGGTGGGACACTGGCAGGTGAGGGATGGAAGGTTAGGGGTGGGACACTGGCAGGACGGGGAGATGAGGCACAGACGACTTGTGTATGGGGAGGAGGAGCAGGCGGAGCCGCTGCTACAGCTGCAGGTGAGGGGTGGAAGGTTAGGGGTGGGACACTGGCAGGTGAGGGGTGGAAGATTAGGGGTGGGACACTGGCAGGACGGGGAGATGAGGCACACGCCCTCCTGCCCCTCTGCCCCTTACTGACCCCCTGCCCTCTGCCCCTTGCCCTCTGCCCTGCCTGTGTGCTCCCTATGAAACCATAATCCATGCCCCATCTCCCCCCTCCAGGTGCAGTACAAGGCGAGGCTTCTCCATCTGAGTGACGAAGTTCGCTCTCTAAGAGCATCAGGCTTCCACACCCCGCATCACCTGCTCGCCTGCGCCCTCTCCGCCTCAGCTGCCGCCTCCTCCGCATCCACCATCTCCCCTCCTGCCCCTCTGCCCCTCCCTGAACCCCTGCCCTCTGCACCTTGCCCCTCTGCCCTGCCTGTCTGCTCCCTATGCCACCTCTCCCCCCACCAGGTGCAGTACAAGACAAGCCTGCTGCATCTGAGCGAGGAGGTCCGCACCCTTCGGGCGTCAGGCTTCCACATCCCGCACCACCTGCTCGCCTGCGCCCTCTCCGCCTCTGCTGCCGCCTCCTCCGCATCCACCATCTCACGAGCGCTCGAGAGCTTTGCTGATGTCAGCGCTGGCGTCAGCAAGGGCGTGCTGCCGCTGGTGGTGGCTTCGCGAGAAGCGGTGCTGGGGTTAATGCAGAGCGGTGAGTCGGCACAAGCGGTGCTGGGGTTAATGCAGAGCGGTGAGTCGGCACGCGGGTAAGGAAGCAATGGTGGGGGTACTGCAGTCTAGTGAGTGGGTGATGCAGTCCGGAAGCAAAAGCGTGCTGCCGCTGGTGGCGACGACAAGGAAAGCGATGCTGGGGATAATGCAGAGCGGTGAGACTTGATTGTAGAGCAGTAAGGGGGGGTTGGGGATAATGCAGAGCGGTGAGTCATTGCTGCGGAGTGGTAAGGGTGGATTGGGGATCATGCAGCAAGGGGTGGTTGGGGATAATGCAGAGCGGTAAGTGGTGGTTGGGGATAGTACAAAGCGGCGAGTCATAATTTAAAGGTGTGGGTAGAGAAGAGGGACGGTGGAAGATATATTTAGTCCCTCTGGTGAGGAAGAAAGAAGAATAGAGAATGGGTTGTGGTGTAGGAGGAGGAAGAGGAGGACGAGCTTGCAGTGTGCCTGTGGGGTGCTGTCGTGCCGAGGAGGGAACTGGGTGTGTGTTTGAGTCAGCCACCCATCTCAACCACTCCGTTGTCCCCTGACTTCCCCTCATGTTCCCCCTTGCTTTCCCCGATTTCACCTCACCATTGGCCACCGTTGCAGGTCAGGGAGTGGTGTGGGAGGAGGAGGGAGCAGGACGAGTTGGCGGTGTGCCTGTGGGTTGCCGTGGGGGGAAGCTTGGCGTATGAGTCTCCCCTTCCACTCCAATGTCTATTGCGGGATAAGAGACGACTTTTGACGTGCCTCAAATGCCGTGGGGGGAACTTGGCGCATGAGTCTCCCCTTCCACTCCATCGTCTCCTGACTTCCCCTCATGTTACCCTTGGTTCCCCTACTGCCCGCACTGCAGGCCAGGGCGTTGTGTGGGAGGAGGAGGACGAGTTGCAGTGTGCCTGTGGGATGCAGAGGAGGGAACTTGGTGTTTGAGCCTGTTACCCATCTCAACCACTCCTTTGTCCTCTGGCTTCCCTTCATGGTCCCCCTTGCTTCTCCCAATTCCCCCCCCCCTGCAGGTGGAAGTGTGGTGTGGGAGGAGGAGGACGAGGTGGATGAGTTCGCCGTGTGCCTGTGGGATGCAGTGGAGGCGTTTTCATCTGCAGCTGCTGCGGCCAAGGAGAGGCATGAGGCGGCATGGCAGTGCCTTGAGCAGATTCGTTCGTGTGCCTATAAGGTGAGTGTGTGTGCCGGTGGTTGGATTGGAGGGTGTTTGCTTGTAAGGCGTGTGCCTGTGGGATGCTGTGGAGGCGTTTTCAGCCGCTGCTGCTGCCGGCAAGGACAGGCACGAGGCGGCATAGCAGTGCCTTAAGCGTGTCCGATCGTGTGCTGGTGGGAGCTTACAGCAGCTAAGTCTATAAGGTGAGAGCCTCTAAGCCCGCTCTGCCACTGCTGCTGCTAAGGTCAAGGAGAGGCATGACGCTGCATGGCATTGCCGAAACCATGAGCTTGCTCTAAAGAGTTTTGTCTAATAGCACAAAGCGTCTAACCTTAATGTTTTCTCCGTCCTCTTTTTTTTTCCTCCATCCCCTCTCACCGAATCAGGACCTGCCAACTCATCTCCGCCAGCTGGCGCACGCGGTAATTGCAGCGATCTCCCGGCCGCCTTACCCGGCTGCCATGTCAGCTGCCACGTCAGCAGTGTGGCAGCATGAGGTGGCTGCCACGTGGGCCGCCCCGCTGCTGATGCAAGCACAGGCGGCTCTGCAGCAGAAGCTGACGTCAGCGCTCTGCTGCTGGCTGAAGAAATGGAAGGACCTGATTGGAGGAGACTCTCCTGCTGCTACAGCTGCTGCTACAGCCGCCACGGGTGCCAAATCTGCTACAGCTTCTGCTGCTGCTGCTGCGGCGGCAGCGGCTGCTAGGGTTAATGAGGTCTCTAAGGGATCCCCTGAGCGTGTAGGGGGTCTGCAGGTGGTGGTGAGAGAGATTGAGGCTGTGCTTTCACTGCACGGGCCCTCTGGTGTAGTGAAGGAACGAGCTGGTGGAGGAGCCGACGCAGCAGGGGCGGCAGGAGCGGCAGGGGCGGCAGGAGTAGTGGGAGGAGATTTGAATGGCGGGGATGGGAGCGAGACTGAGTCGTTTGTGCTGCAGCTTCTGCAGGAGCAGATGGGGATGCTGACGCACCGAGTGGCTGTGAGGGGGTCAAACGCAGGGGCGGTTAGAGTGGAAGGAGGAGGAGCGAGTGGCAGGATGGAGGTGGAGGTACAGCCTCCTCTCTGCGAGTCTCAGCAGCGGCTCCAGGACTGTGTTCAGCTGTTGCTCGCTCCCGCTCTCTCTGCTGCTGCAGAGGCCAATAGCGTCCTCTCCTCCGCCTCTGCGGCTTTCTTGCTCCCTCCCACTCCCTCGAATGGTCCCTCTGCTGCTGCTGAAGCCAGCAGCATGCACTCATCCGCCTCTGCTGCCCTGCATCCCATGGCTGCTGGTAACTTCAGTGACGTCAGCAGCAGCGACAGCATGGGTAGCTATCACAGCACTGCAAGGGGCGGGGCTAGTGTGGGCAGTCTGTTAGTAGTGAGCTGTGTGGTTCCGGCTCGGCTGGAGGCGTGTGCGTATGGGGTGGTGGATGCAGTGGTTGGGGCGGCTGAGGGGTGGGTGGGCGAGTGGAGGGTGAGAGTGGCACAGGCGGAAGGGAAGATGGAGAGATGCGCCCGTGCTGCTGCTGCTGCTGCTGTAGCTGCTGCTGCTGCTGCTGCTGCCCCAGCTGCTGTTAGCGAAAGTTCCAACACCTCCCTTCCCCCGCCTTCGACTGAACTCTGGCGTTCCCTTATGAACGAAATTCAGCAGGTTCGTAACCAGCTGGCTGCCAAACCTGCAGTGGTTAGGTTCGGCACAGCTGACCGAACCTCGCTCTTAGCCTTGGACGCAGGCTCGGTGAGGGAGGCACTGGTGGGTCGGTGTGAGGCTTGGATTCGGGCGGCTGAGGAGGATATAGAAGGCAGGGCGGTTCGGGGTTGTAGAGAGGCGATTAAAGAGGTATCTGAGCTGAAGAAACTACTGGAGTTGATTAAGAGGGAGGCAGAGGGGGAACTTATGAGTAGAGATAGGGAACAGAGGCTCGGGCGAGTGAGAGAGGGAGAGGAGGGTGAGGAGGGGGAGCAGGGAGAGGAGGAACAGGAGGGAGAGAAGGGAGCGGAGAACAAGGCAGCTATGGGTAATGGTGGTGCGGATAAGGGTGAAGGATTGAGTGGGGATGTGCGGAGGCTGGTAGAGCATCTAGAGAGAGTGAGGGAGGCGGAGAGGAGGGTAGGAGAGGTGAGTGATGGAGTGGAGAAACTCAGGCCGTTAGTAGAGGCGGCTGTTTCTAAGGGAGGGGGAAGTGGCAAGGGGAAAAGGAGCACTAGCAGCAGCAGCAGCGGTGGTAGGAGCAGTAGTGCCGGGGTTGGGATGGCGCTGGTACAGGCAAGCTGGAAAGAGCTGGAGAAGGAGTGGGGAGAATTGGAATGGGCAAGAAAGGCTGTATTGGGAGGGAGAAAGGCAGGAGCAGAAGCAGCACGAAAGGGAGTAGAAGCTGCAGCAGGAGAATCCCCCAGCGGGATAGTTTTTCCTCCAGGGGCTTGTGAGCATGCAGGTGTTGAGTGCGGTGCAGGTGCATGTGGGGGAGGTGGGGAGGCGTATGGAGGAGCTTGAGACGTGGTGGGACGCTGCTGCTCCTACCAGTGCGGATTGCTCTCGAGGCAGGGCTGCTGGGGCGCTGGTGCAGTGCGCACGCTTAGTGGGGCAGCTTAAAACGAGGATAGAGCTCATGAGGAGGGCGATTGGGCTGGTGGGAGGGGCGGGGCGGGGAGGAGGAGGAGGAGGAGGAGGAGGTGGGGAGAGTGGAGGGGAGGTTAGAGAGGGTGGTTGCAGAGGGGGAGGAGATGCAGCGTATGTGGCTGTTGATTAATCATCTTTTGGATGTTATTGCCTCTGTGGAGGGGATTAGGGTTGCGGATTTCAACCCTGAATCGGACTTAACCCCTCTGCACTCCGCCTTGAGCGACGTGAACCAGGAGGAAGAGGTATTCGGGCAGCACGGTGCGTTCCGGGCAGTTCAATCGGCTGCCCGGAAACTAATTGCGAGCCTAGGTCTGGTGTCGAAGCTAGTTAAAGCCTCGCTGCAAGAGGCCCATTGGAGAGCCCTCGCCCGAGCATTGGGGTTCCAAGCCAAGGGCGGGCTCGGCGCCGGAGGTACCCTGCAGGTTCGGGATCTGGTTCGGGCGCTGGGAGGCTTGGAGGGTCGGGCGGCAGCGGAGCAGGTTTTATCTGCCGTCCAGGGGGAGGTGGCATTGAGACAGTTTATGGATAAGGTTGAAAAGGAGTGGGGCGAGCAGGAGTGGGCTTTTAAGGGGTTTAGAGACAAGTGGAAAATCGTGGGGAATTTGGGGGTGGTTGGGGAAATGGTGCTAGAGCATTTGAGTATGCTTGGAGCGATGAAGCAGTCTCCCTTCTTCCCTCCGTTTAGAGAGGCTGTGAGGGAGTGGGAGGGGCGACTGGGGCAGCTGAGTGAGCTGGTGGATGCGCTAGCAGACGCGCAGTCCAAGTGGGTCCGTTTGGAAGCACTCATGACGTCACCTGCCGTCCGGTCGATGCTACCCGACACGCACCGCGCCTTCCACGAAGCTTCCCTCCCGTTCACGGAGTTCCTGGGATCGCTCGCCGCCCGCCCTCTCGCGATCGACCTGGAGGGACTTGCGGACGAGGACGACGGAGCCGGGCGGCAGGTTTTGGCGGTTTGTGCGGAGGTGTTTGGGCGGGTGCTTTTGGAGGTTCAGGCACATCTGGACAAGCAGAGGCGGATGCTGCCAAGGCTGTACTTCCTGGGGGATGACGATCTGTTACAGCTCATCTCTGCTTCGCCCTCTGATTTATCTGCGGTATGTTTCTGTGTGGGCACGAAAATATGTGTACGTGTATGTCAAGTGAGTGTGCGAGTTGCCGCATCTGGACAAGCAGAGGCGGATGCTGCCAAGGCTCTACTTTCTCAGGGATGACGATCTGCTGCAGCTCATTTCTGCGTCCCCCCACAGACCTCTCTGCTGTGAGTTGAATATTGGGTTTCATGTGTATGACGAGGGCTACCAAAGCTGTACTTCCTGGGGGATGACGATCTGCTGCAGCTCATCTCCGCCTCGCCCTCAGACCTGTCTGCGGTACGCATTGGTTCACTTGCATGCATGTCTCTCTGGGTCAGTTATGTGCATGTCTAGGCGGATGCTGCCAAGGCTCTACTTTCTCAGGGATGACGATCTGCTGCAGCTCATCTCTGCATCGCCTTTGGACCTCTCTGTGGTAAGTATATGTGTCTGTGTATGTGTGCACGGATGCTGCCGAGGCTGTACTTCCTGGGAGACGATGATCTGCTGCAGCTCATCTCCGCCTCGCCTTCGGATCTATCTGCTGTAAGTCTGATTATGAATGAAGTGTCACTTCTGAGTCGACTCAAAAGACAAGCAGAGGCGGATGCTGCCGAGGCTGTACTTCCTGGGCGATGACGACCTGCTGCAGCTCATATCCGCATCACCATCAGACCTCTCTGCTGTACGTTTATGTGCATGTGTCTGTGTATGTGTATGTGTATGTGCGTATGATATGGTTTATGAGTGTGCGGATGCTGCCAAGGCTGTACTTCCTTGGAGACAACCATCTGCTGCAGCTCATGTCTGCCGACCTCTCTGCGGTAAGTAGATGTGTCTTTGTCTGTGTCTGTGCATATGTATGTGTGTGTGTGTGTGTGTGTGTGTGTGTGTGTGTGTGTGTGTGTGTGTGTATGTGTATGTGTATGTGTATGTGTGTGTGATATGGTTTATGTGTGTGCGGATGCTGCCAAGGCTGTACTTCCTTGGAGACAACCATCTGCTGCAGCTCATGTCTGCCAACCTCTCTGCGGTAAGTAGATGTGTCTGTGTCTGTGTCTGTGCATATGTATGTGTTGTGTGTGTGTGTGTGTGTGTGTGTGTGTGTGTGTGTGTGTGTGTGTATGTGTGTGTGTATGTGTATGTGTGTGTGATATAGTTTATGTGTGTGCGGATGCTGCCAAGGATGTACTTTCTCAGGAACGACCATCTGCTGCAGGCAGCTCATCTCTGCATTGCCCTCAGACCTCTCTGCTGTAAGTTTGAGTTTGGGGTTTCACTTTTGAGTCAGCTTAAAAGACAAGCAGAGGAGGATGCTGCCGAGGCTGTACTTTCTGCGGGATGATGACCTGCTCCAGCTCATATCCGCATCATTTTTGGGGCGCCTCAAAAGTCTGGGGGATGATGTGATGACCTGCTCCAGCTCATATCCGCATCACCTTCGGATCTCTCTGCTGTACGTATATGTGTCTCTGTATGTGTATGTGTGTGTGATATGGTTTATGTATGTGCGTATGCTGCCGAGGCTGCACTTTTGGGGGGATGACGATCTGCTGCTGCAGCTCATGTCTGCATTGTCGTCAGGCCTCGCTGCTGTATGTTTCTGCGTGCCGGTTCGTTCATGTGTATGTGTGTGTGTGTGATTTGGTGTACGTGTAAGTGTATGCCCGAATGGATGTCGTTTCTGGGAATGACAATCCACTCCCTTTTTCCCCGCTCTCTCTCCCTGTCCCCTGTTCTCCTGCTTCAGGTGCACGTGCACATTCGCAAGCTCTCCACTGCAGTCTCATGGTCCCCTCCCATCCTCCCTCCATTCCCCTTTTCCCCCTCTCTCCCCCTCTCCCCTCTCCCCCTTTCTCCCCTCTTCACTCTTTTCCCATGTCAGGTACACGTGCACATTCGCAAGCTCTTCACAGCAGTCTCAGGCATTGAAGTATCGGCAGTCTCTGATACCATTTTGCCAGAAAAGAGTACAGCAGAGGATGTAGTGAAGTTTGCACCTTCAGGGGACGCAGGGAAGAGAGTATTTATCACCGCAGCTCTTTCCGACGGGGAGCGGCTCGTGCTGCACCAACCAGTGGAGCTTGCGGAAGGTGCTGCCACGTCAGCGAGTGCCACGTCAGCGGATGCCACGTCAGCGGGTGCCACGTCAGCGGAAGGACAGAAGCCAGCAGGAGCCACCAAGTGGCTGCTGGATCTCGACATGGCGCTGCGGACGACTCTGAGCGACCTGGTTGTGTCAGCGGTCGCTGAGCTGGCGGCGTGTGATTGGCTGTCGACTGCTGCGGCTGGGAAGAGGGAGAAGAGCAAATGCAGCGGGAAGGAGGGAAGTGGCGGCGGAGTGAGGAGGAGTGGAGTGAGGATGGGCGGTAGCAGCAGGAGGAATGGAGGAAGGTTCCTCGAGTGGCTGGGGAAGCTGCCTTTGCAGCCGGCGCTGCTAGCTCTTCAAGTGAGCTGGACTGCTCTGGTTGAAGGGATTTTGGCAGGCGAGGAACGGGAGGTAGATGAGCAAGGGGTGCAAGTGAGGGGTGGAAAGGAAGCAGGGCTGGAGGCTCTGGTGGTGGGGCTGGAGGGGCTTCTGCAGTGGCTGGCACGTGCCGTGAGGGAGCGGAGAGAGCTGGCTAGGAAAGCAGCGGGGGCAGGAGGAGGAGGAGCAGGCAGAGCAGCAGGGGAGCAGGGGGAGTAGGAGAGGGGGCAGGTGGCGAGGAGGGGAGGTTGATGGAGGCCAAGTGTGAGGCGGTGATTACTGTGTTGGTTCACCTGCTGGAGAGCAGTAAGGCGCTGCTGCTGGAGCAGCAGGAGGAGCAGGCACGGGCAGAGAAGGAGGAGGAGGAGGATAAGGAGAATATGGAGTGTGCAGGGCTTCAGCAGAAGCAGAAGCAGAAGCGGAAGGAGAGGAAGCAACACGGGCTCTCCCTCTCCTCCTTTGCCTGGCGAAAATGCCTCCGATACTACCTCGACCCTTCCCTCCCTCCCCTCCACCGCCTCTCTGTTCAAATCGCAGACGCCTCTTTCACCTACGGGTTTGAATACTCTGGCTGTACTCCCTCCCTCGTCCGCACCTCCCTCACTGACCGCTGCTTCCTCGCACTTTCCCAGGCGCTCTGGCACGGCCAGGGCAGCGCTCTGATTGGTCCAGCTGGCACGGGGAAGACGGAGACGGTCAAGGCGCTCGGGCGGCAGCTCGGGCGGCCGGTTTTGGCGTTATCTTGCGATAGGAGCTTTGACAGTGCGGCGGTGGGGCGGGTTTTGGAGGGAGTGGCGAGGCTGGGCGCGTGGGGGGTGCATGGACGAGTTCAACCGGTTGGACGAGAGTACAATGTCTGCGATCTCGCAGCACCTGGTGGCGATTCAGGGCGCGCTGAGGGAGGGACGGAGAGAGGCCGTGCTGGCTGGGACTGCCGTGCCCGTGCACCCTGCCACTGGTGAGTGGGCGTGGGTGGGTGTGTGTGTGTGCACCCTACTACTGGTGAGTGGGCGTCGGGGGATGGGGAAACAGGGTGGGGGTGCATGGACGAGTTCAACAGGTTGGACGAGAGTACAATGTCTGCGATTTCGCAACATTTGGTGGCGATTCAGGGCGCGCTGAGGGAAGGAAGGAGGGAAGCCGTGCTGGCTGGGACTACTGTGCCCGTGCACCCTGCCACTGGTGAGTGGGCGTGGGTGGGTATGTGTGTGTGCACCCTGCCACTGGTGAGTGGGTGTGGGTGGGTGTGTGTGTGTGCACCCTGCCACTGGTGAGTGGGTGTGGGGGGATGGGGGGAACAGGGTCGGGGTGCATGGATGAGTGGAACAGGTTGGACGAGTGTACAATGTCGGCTATCTCACAACATCTGGTGGCGATTCAGTGCGCGCTGAGGGAGGGACTGCCGTGCCCGTGCACCGTGCTACTGGTGGGTGGGCGTGGGTGGGTGGGTGTATGTGTGTGTGTGTGCACCCTGCTACTGGTGAGTGGGTGTGGGGTGTTGTTCCTTGGTTGTTGTTGCTCTATGATGCCATGTGTGTGCTGTGATGTGTGCTGTGATGTGTGCTGTGATGTGTGCTGTGATGTGTGCTGTGATGTGTGCTGTGATGTGTGCTGTGATGTGTGCTGTGATGTGTGCTGTGATTGTGTGCTGTGATGTGTGCTTGGATGAGGGAAGGCAGGAGGGAGGCGGTGCTGGCTGGGACTGCTGTGCTCGTGCACCCTGCCACTGGTGAGTGCGCGGATATTCTTCTGCTGTTGTGTGTGGACTGCTGTGTGTGCTCTGTGAGACTGTGGCGATTTGCACTCATCCTTCCACTTTACCCCATTCCCTTACTCGCTCGCAGCCTTTTCGACTCCCTCCCAGGCATATTCGTGACGCTCAACCCGCGCTATGCAGGCAGGGACCATGCCCTTTCCGTCACTAACCCATACGCACCATTCTCCACCCCCTCCCTTCATCTCCCTCCCAGGCATATTCGTGACGCTCAACCCGCGCTATGCAGGCAGGGACCACCTGCCTGAGAGCCTGTCTGCTCTGCTGCGACTTGTCACCATCAGCACCCCTGACCCCTTTCCCTTGCCTCCCCACCCACCCACTATCCCTCCCCCACCTGTCACTGCCTCCCCCTCTCCCAGGCAGGCATATTCGTGACGCTCAACCCGCGCTATGCAGGCAGGGACCATCTGTCTGCTGCGCCCTCTCACAGTCGCCACCCCTCATGCACCTTCTTCCCTCCTAACCCACCCCCTTTCCCTCCCCCTCCTGCATCTGTCTCCCCGTTCCCAGGCATATTCGTGACGCTCAACCCGCGCTATGCAGGCAGGGACCACCTGCCCGAGAGACTGACAGCTGACCTTCGAGTCACCCCACAACTGCCTCTCACCCTACTGTCCCTTTCCCTTCCTCATCTCTTACTCCCTCCCAGGTATATTCGTGACGCTCAACCCGCGCTATGCAGGCAGGGACCATCTGCCTGAGAGCCTGTCCGCCCTCCTGCGTCCTCTGACAGTCGCCGTCCCTGATGCATGCGCCATCGCCCATGTGACTCTGCTGTCGTGTGGGTTCTCGCATGCGGAGAGGCTGGCTGACGCTGCCACCCGCATATTCCAGGTATGGCTCGTGTGGGTGTGTGCATACACATGTACAAACACAGGAATGCACAGAAAGTGAACATCCCTGGTGCATGCGCCATCACCCGTGTGACTCTGATGTCGTGTGGATTCTCGCATGCTGAAAGGCTGGCTGATTCTGCCACTCGAATCTTCCAGGAGTGTGTGAATGCACAAGTACACGCACTCTGACAAGCACATGAACGCACTCATACATTCAGAGTCTCCCTCTTGTGATGCATGCGCCATCGCCCATGTGACTCCGCTGTCGTGCGGGTATTCGCATGCGGAGAGGGCTGGCTGATGCTGCAACTCGCATCCTCCAGGTATGGCTGGTGCTGGTGCTCGTGCTCGTGCTCGTGCTCATGCTGGTGCTGGTGCTGGTGCTCGTGCTGGTGCTGGTGCTCGTGCTCGTGCTCGTGCTCGTGCTCGTGCTGGTGCTGTGTGCTGGTGCTGGTGGTTGTGTGTCCATGCTTCGCCCCCATTTCCTTCCTCCTGGTCCTCTGTGGTTGCCAGTTCCTTTTCCAGCAGTCAGAGCAGTGCTTGGCCCCCCAACCCCAGTACGACTTCAGCCTCAGAGCGCTCAAAGCCACTCTTGAATCTGCTAGGCCACACTCATTCCCTTCCTCCCTACTCGTCCCCTTGGCCTGCCCTTTCTGTCTCCAGCGGTCAGAGCAGTGCTTGGACCCCCCACCCCAGTACGACTTCAGCCTCAGAGCGCTTAAAGACACTCTTGACTCCCCCATACTTGTTTCCCCTTGAAACTCTTCTTCATCCCGCCCACACCTTTTTTTTCTTCCTCCAGGAGTCCGAGCAGTGCTTGGCCCCCCAGCCTCAGTACGACTTCAGTCAGAGAGCGCTCAAAGCAGCTCTGAGATCTTCTCTCACTCTCTCATTTCGCTCCTTCCTCGTCATCCCTCTTGTCTACCTTGCCCCGCAGGAGTCTGAGGAATGCTTGGACCCCCAGCCTCAGTACGATTTCAGTCTGAGAGCGCTCAAAGCAGCTCTGAAATCTGCTAGGTCTGTTATGCTGGCGCAGACAGAATTGGAGGGGGGTGCGAGTGAGAATGAGGGTAAGGAGAGGAAAGAGGAAGTGGAAGAAGGTGCGAGTGAGAATGAGAGCAAGGGGATGAGCGAGGTGGTGGAAGGGGGTGCGATTGAGGGGAAAAGGAAAGGAGGGAAAGTGGTATGGAGGAGGTGTGTGAGAGAGAGATGGAGGTGAAGGGTGAGGAGGGTAGGGAGGAGGGATGTGTGGAAGAGGAGGAGGGGGGGAGTGTGAGATCAGAGGAGAAAGAGGAGTTTACGAGGCAGAGGATGGGGAGCAAGGGGGGATGAAGAGGGGAAGGAGGAGGGGAGGCAGGAAGAGGGGGAGGAGGAGGAGGAGGAGGAGGAGGAGGAGAAGGAGGAGGAGGAGGAGGAAGGGGAGGAGCCGGAGGTGAGAGAGGAGGTGTTGCAGGTGGAAGAAACAGAGGAGGGAGAAGGGGACGGAGAGGAGGACATAGTAGAGGAGGTAAAGGAGGAGGTAGGGGCGGAAGAGGAGGAAGAGGAGGAGGAGGAAGAGGACGAAGAGGCCCACCGTGTGTCGAGATGGCCGTTGGAGTCCCGATCCCTAGTCCAGGGCATTTTCGGCCAGCTGGCAGCCAAGCTGGCACCTGCTGACGTGGCAAACCTTCCGGGAGGTGGTTTCCCGGAACCTTCCGGACGTGGCTGTGGAGGAGATGGGCGACGCTGAGCTGACAGCGGCGGTGGAGGTGGTGTGTGAGAGGGAGGGGTACGTGGCGAGCTGTGATTGGACGAGGAAGGTGCTGCAGATGGCGAGGTTGATGGGGCTGCATCAGGGGATCATGCTGGTGGGGCCGCCTGCTGGGAAGACCACGGCCTGGAGAGGTGAGAAGGGGTGAAGATGGGTGGAGATGGGTTGGGAGGGGTGATGATGGGACGGCGATGGGTGGTAAGGGGTGAGGAGGGATGATGAGACGTGAGGACGAGAGGGATGGGTCTGCATTAGGGGATCATGCTGGTGGGGCCCGCCTGCTGGGAAGAACCACTGCTTGGAGAGGTGAGGATGGGTGAAGAGCGGTGATGCGGGATGAAGGTGGGTTAGGTAGGGGAATAATAGGTTGAGGATGGGTAGAAAGGGATGAGGAGGGATGGTGATGGCGAGGCTGGTGGTGAGGCTGATGGGGCTGCATCAGGGGATCATGCTGGTGGGGCCGCCTTCTGGGAAGACCACTGCTTGGAGAGGTGAGGAGCGGTGAAGAAGCATGGAGATGGGTGATGATGTTGCGGGGATGAGCGGAAAGGGGTGTCTGTGACAGTGGTGGATCCCAGAGAGTCTGTCCAAGGCACCACCCTCTCCCAAGCAGGCGCTCTTTGGGGGCGTTGAGGCAACCACCCTCTCCTTCTTCTCCCCCATTCTCTCCTCCCCGCCTCCAGTGCTGCACAAGGCCCTGGAGGCAACGAAAGGGTCGCAAGGTGTCGGTGACAGTGGTGGATCCTAAGAGTCTGTCGCTCCCATTCCCGCCTCCCCTTCTTGCAGTGCTGCGCAAGGCCTTGGAGGCATCGCAAGGCGTGCAAGTATCCGTGACAGTGGTGGATCCCAAGAGTCTGTCCAAGGAGGCGCTGTTTGGGAGTGTGGAAGCCACCACGCGGGAGTGGAGTGGCAGGACGGCGTGTTCACCCAAGCCTCTACTCTCTACCCCCTCCCTACCCTCTTCTCTTCCTCCCCTTCCTACCCTTTCACCCCTGTCTGCAGTGCTGCGTGAGGCCTTACAGACATCGCAAGGCGTGCAGGTGTCCGTGACAGTGGTGGATCCCAAGAGTCTGTCCAAAGAGGCGCTGTTTGGGAGCGTGGAAGCCACCACGCGGGAGTGGCAGGACGGCGTGTTCACCCGGGCTTTAAGGGCCGTCGTGCGAGAGTATGAGGAGGAGAGGGAGCGGGAGACAGGGAGAGATGGGGTGGCGGAGGGGGTGGAAGAAGAGGAAACGGAGGGCGATAGGGAGAGGAGGGAAGGGATGGAAGGGGAAGGGGATGAGGGCGATGGAGGAGGGGAGATGCGGCAAAGAACAGGAGGGAATGCGGGGAGGGGCGTGGAGTGGCGGCGGCGGCACTGGTTTGTGTTTGATGGGGAGGTGGACCCCATTTGGATAGAGACTCTCAACTCACTGCTGGATGATAACAAGGTGAGAGGGCGTACCCATTGCCTTGGGCTGCATGAAAGGGCAATGCAGGGAGGGGCGACACAAGGAGGGAAGATAAGGGGAGGCGGCGGGCACTGGTTTGTGTTTGATGGGGAGGTGGACCCCATTTGGATTGAGACACTCAACTCGCTGCTGGATGACAATAAGGTGGGCAATGTGGGAATGATGCACAGAGCGGGTAGGCGTGAAGGGATAACAGGGGGAGGGGTGACACAAGGATTGGTTAGGAGGCAGTAATGGTACTGGTTTGTGTTTGATGGCGAGGTGGACCTTATTTGGATTGAGACGCTCAACTCGCTGCTGGATGACAATAAGGTGAGACAGCGAGGCAAGGGTGGGGTAGGGTGAGGCAAGGGTGGGGTAGGGTGAGGCAAGGGTGGGGTAGGGTGAGGCAAGGGTGGGGTAGGGTGAGGCAAGGGTGGGGTAGGGTGAGGCAAGGGTGGGGTAGGGTGAGGCAAGGGTGGGGTAGGGTGAGGCAAGGGTGGGGTAGGGTGAGGCAAGGGTGGAGTAGGGTGAGGCAAGGGTGGGGTAGGGTGAGGCAAGGGTGGGGTAGGGTGAGGCAAGGGTGGGGTAGGGCGAGGCTGAACTGTCATGACTCTGCCTGCCTACAGGCGAACGCCTCTCGCTCCTCCCCCACATGGACTGCATATGCGAATGCCCCTCTTTTGGCCACGCCACTATACCCCTCTGCGCCCCTCCCCTCCCCTTTACATTCAGGTTATGACTCTACCCACAGGAGAGCGCCTGCCTCTCCTACCTCACATGCACTGCATATTCGAGTGCCCCTCCATCTCACCCACAACACTCTGCATTCTGCCCCCCTCTCCCACGCTCCCCACCCCGTCTGCCCTCCCCTGCCACCCATCAGGTCATGACTCTACCACAGGAGAACGCCTGCCCCTCCTCCCCCACATGCACTGCATCTTCGAATGCCCCTCTCTCGCTCACGCCACTCCCGCCACCATCTCTCGTCTCGGAGTGGTCTGCTTCCCCCACTCCCTCCTCTCCCTCCCCATGCTCCTCCACCGCTTCCGCTTCCTCCTCCCCCCCATGCCCTTCCCCCACCCTCCTCCTCCCCGTCCTCTTCATCTCTTTCCCCTCTCCCTCCCTCTCTCTCCACCACAACAACACCTGCACCAGCTACCCCCGCTACCACCACCACCACTACTCTCTCTTCGTCCCACTCCTCCCACTCCTCCCACTCCTACCACTCCTCCCACTCCTCCCACTCCTCCCTCACCTCCTCACTCTTCTCCGCGCCTCTCTTCCTCCCCTCGCGCCTCTCCCTCGGGATTGACGCGCCAGACGAGCATCTGGAGCTGCTGCCGCCTGGCCTGCCACAGCCGCTGCTACAGCCGGTGCTGGCTGTGGCGCTGGCGGCGCTACAAGCCGGGCGGGCTGCTGCAGCAGGCTCTAGAGGCTGCTGCTGGTGTCAGTGGCGCTGGTACTGGTGCTACTGGTGCCAATGCTGCCAGCGCTGCCTGTGCTACAGCCGTTACAGCTGCAGGTTCGGCCGAGGCAGATTCCATTCCCTTTGATTCCATGCGTGCCCTTCGCTCGGTGTTCTTGTACTATTGCTACCGAACCTCGGACCTCTGCCGAACCTCCGCCTTCCCAAGCCACTCCGAAGAATGATGCGCTTGAAACGGCTGGTGTGCGGAGCGGTGGGGAGGGGTGAAGGGAGGTGCGAATCGGTCTATTGCGGTGGTGGGGAGATTTACCAGGAAAGCAATGGTAGAGGCAATCATGGCAGGGGTTGCAGGGGGAATGGATGCTACCTCTCGCTCTGCCTTTGCAGACCGATTAGCTTGTGTTTTTGGCGTCTGAAGGTGGGGGAAACGATGAGGTGGCATGCCGTGCCACGTCAGAGCAGCTGCTGAGCTGTTTCGCTGACGTGGCGAGCGGCCATTGGAAGCCGTGGGAGGCGGCTCTGCCTGGATTGGCTGATGCTGATGCTGCTGTTGGGGGGTGCTTCGGGGATGAGGAGGAGGTGGAAGAGGGAGAGGAGGGAAGTGAGGAGGAAGAGGAGAGGAGTATGAGCTACAGAAGGAGTAATTCTGTGTCTGGTCGGAGCAATGGCAGTATGGGTGTTACAAAGCAGGTTGGTAGACAGGCGAAGGGTGCAGCTGGAAAGGCAGGGAAGAGAAGGAAGGGGAGGATCAGGAGGGGTAAGAGGAGCAGGAGGAGCAGGAGCAGCAACAGGAGCAGCAGGTGCAGGAGTAGTGGCAGGAGCAGGAGGGGTGAGGAGTTAGACTCAACCACGGGTTATCCCCACAGCAGAGACAGAGCGGTTGGGTGCGGTGATCAGGGCCAGTCTCGCCCAATCACAGCCCATCCTGCTCTGTGGCCCACCTGGGAGTGGGAAGACTCTCGCGCTGACAGCTGTCGCGCAGGCATTGGCTACTGCTGGCGCTGACGAGGCACAGGCTGCTGCTGCCGCCGCTGCTGCTGCAGCTGGCGCTGCTGGTGGTGCTGGTGCTGGCAGTGCTGTAGTGCTGGTGTTGGTGGTGCTGGTGGTGGGGTTGGAATGGGGGACGCAGCAGCGAAAGGAGAAGCTTTCGCAGAAGCAGCAAGAAGGGAGCAAGCAATCGGCAGAGGCCGAGGTGGCGGCAGTGGCAGGGCCAAAGCTCCACGTGGCAGCTTTCAATTTGTCACTGTCGACGTCTCCCGAGTCGTTTATCGCTGAGCTGGAGCAGCACTGCCGCTACGTCAAGCTCCCTGCTGGTGGTGCTCGTGGTGCTGGTGTTGGTGTTGGTGGTGCTTCTGGTGCTGCTGCTGCTGCTGCCGGTGTTGGTGTTGGTGCTGCTGGTGGGTCACACGAAACAGCAGCAGCAGCAGCAGCAGCAGCAGGAGTGGTTTCGACATCAGCATCAGCAGTGGCAGCAGCAGCCGCCACTTCCAGTGTTAACTGGGCGCTGGAGCCTAAGGACCCAGTACCAGCGGACGGCCGTCTGCTGCTATTGTTAGATGAGGTGAATCTCCCCGCCCCTGACGCTTTTGGCACCATCCGCATGGCCGGCCTGGCTTCGGCAGCTAGCGGAGCCGCAGCTTGATTCCGGCAGGCGGCGGGCGGGGTGGGCGGCGGTAGTGGGGAAAGCAGCAGGAATGGCGATACGCACGGCAGCAGCAGCATAACGTTGGCAGTGGTGGTGGTGGTGGTGGTGCTGGCAGTGGTAGTAGCAGCAGCAGTGGAGGGAGCGGTGGGTATGCGTATGGGTTCTGGCACCCCAAGAGGCGCGTTTGGGTGCAACTGAGGCGGGTGTCATTTGCAGCCACTTGCAATCCGGCTTCAGACGTGGGCAGGCATGAACTGCCTGTACGCCTGACCAGGCATCTCACTGTTGCTCATGTTCCGTTTCCGTCCGGCGCGGCTCTTACGAGAATATACAGCACGTTTATAAGGGGGATATTGGCCCGGAACTGGCCTGGGGTGGCAGTGGAGGCGCGGGGGAATCCTCAGGTGGTTTCTCAGGTGGATTCTCAGGTGGTTTCTCAGGTGGGCGCGTGCCTGGCAGCGGCGATGGTGGAGGTGTATGAGGAGTGTGGGGTGAGGTTCACTCGGGCAGTGCAGCAGCACTACGTGTGCAGTCCTAGGGAGCTTACCAGATGGACTAGAGGCATCCGATTCGCCCTGGTGCATGGGCAGAAAGGGGTTCAGAGGGGTGGAAAGGGAGACGGGGACGAGAGGGGGGAGAAGGGGGCGGTTGAGAGGGGTGAAAAGGGTGGAGTGAGTGGGAAGAGTGGTAAGGGGCGTATGGGTGCTGGTGGTGCGAGATTGGGTGGTGGTGTGGGGCTGGTTGGAGCAACAAGTGCACATACAGGCGTTGGCGGTGCGGCTATCATCGGTGGTGATGGGGAGGGCAACTGGGCGGCAAGGCTTGTCCTGTCATGGCTGCATGAGGGAATGCGCATCTGGTATGATAGGCTGGTGAGGGAGGAGGAGAGGCAGTGGACGGCGAAGCTGCTGCTGCGGGTGGCAACAGAAAAGATACTCCCGATGCTCGTGCCTCTTGTAGGGAACACTCTTGTAACGAGTACAGGGAATCCTGTAGCTGTTGCTGATGGAGTTTCTGATGGTGCTCCTGCTGTGCCTTTCTCGCTACCTGCCGACCCGAGCCGGTTGGTGTTTTCGTCGCTTCTGACGGGGCGGTACAAGCCGTGCGCGGTGAACCACCTGAAAAAGCACCTGAAGTGGGTCCTGACAGGGGAGGCCCCGGATGCCGCAGGAGGGGCAGGTGCCGGCCAGGTGAAACCAGGTGTTTCTTCAGGTGCTGGGGCAGCAGAAAAGGCCGGGGACAGGAGAGGAGGAGCAGGAAAGCGGGCGTCAAGCAGCAGGGCAGGAGAGATGGAGGAGGAAACTGGGAGGAGAGTATTGGAAGAATCGGAAGGATTGGGAGTGGAGAAGGGGGAGGAGGATGCAGTGGAGGTGCAAGCAGGGGAGGTGGTATTGACTGATGAGTTTGTGTGTGCGGTGGTGAGGGCAGCATCGGTGCTGCAGCAGCCCATGGGGCATTTGCTGCTGCTGGGTCCTCCTGCAACTGGGAAATCGACCGTTGCCAGGTGGGTGTGAAGCATCTGTTTGAGAGAGGGTGTGTGTGTGAGAGTTAGGGTCTGTGTGTGTGGTGGTGAGGGCGGCATCGGTGCTGCAGCAGCCCATGGGGCATCTGCTGCTGCTTGGTCCTCCTGCGACCGGGAAATCAACCATTGCCAGGTGGGTTTGGGGTTTGGGTTTAAGGATGGTTTGGGTCTAGTGTTCATTTTAGAAGTTAGAGCTTACTGATTGAGTGTATGTGCATGAGTTTGTGTGTGCGATGGTGAGGGCGGCATCGTTGCTGCAGCAGCCCATGGGGCAACTGCTGCTGCTTGGCCCTCCTGCCACTGGAAAGTCTACTGTTGCCAGGTGGGTGTGAAGTATTTCTGTTTGCTTGTGTGTGTGTAATCGCTGTGATGGGATTGGAGGAGGGGCAGGTGGCACGGCACTCCCTCCATGTGCTTCCTTTTGAGGCGCCTCAAAAGTCATTCCTGTTTGCTTGTGTGTGTGTGATCGCTGTGATGGGATTGGAGGAGGGGCGGGTGGCGTTCCCTCCATGTGCTTCCTTGGTTGCCCTCTCCACTTACCCACGGTGCCTTCCCAATTCTGCATGCAGATGTGCGATTGCTGCGACGGGATTGGTAGAGCTGCGGGTGGCGCTGCACGCAGGATCCGAGGTGCTTCTGTGGCTCCAACATTGAACCCTAAATGCATCCCTCTCCTCTCCTCCTCATAACCCTTGCTGGCCAATCACATGCTCGCAGATCCGCAATCGCTGCGACGGGATTGGTGGAGGTGCGGGTGGCGCTGCACGCGGGATTCGAGGAGCGCGAGCTGGACGGCCCGCTGGAGGAGGCGCTGCGGGCGGCGGGGTGCGACGGGCGGCGCGTTTGTCTTGTTCTGGAGGAGGCGCATCTGGTGGAGAGCGCTGTCTTGGAAAGGCTCAACTCGCTTCTCACGGGGGGGGGACGTTCTTGGGCTGTTTGGAGCGGAAAAGCAGCAGGTGAGAGGGGGGGGTCGGGTGATGGTGGTACCATACAGCCAACAGACTTGAGTTCATTCAGAAGATGCCAAGCAGCGCATCTGGATGAGCAGTGCTTCTGGTGAAGAGCTCTGTTCTGGAGAGGTTCAACTCGCTTCTCATGGGGAGGGGGAGGGGGGGGGGGGGGGGGGGGAAAGAGGTGGGGGTGTGTCGTTCTCGGGCTGTTTGGAGCGGAAAAGCAGCAGGTGAGAGGGGGGGGTCGGATGTCTGTACAGTAGAAGCATAGTAAGGCCAGCCGGACCCCAAACCTGAGAGGTGAGAGTGTTTTTGAGTCGACTCAAAAACGCTTTTGAGTCGACTCAAAAGGGTGTCTGTACAGTAGAAGCATAGTAAGGCCAGCCGGACCCCCAACCCGAGAGGTGAGGGTGTTTTTGAGACGTCTCAAAAACACCCTCACCTCACGCAGCAGGTGGAATCGGGTGTCTGTACAGTAGAAGCATAATAAGGCCAGCCGGACCCCAAACCCGAAACCCTAAATCCTGAACCTGGACTCTGAACCCTCTGCTGAATCCCTCTCTGAACCCCTCTTTCCCTGCAGGAGCTGCTTGAATCCCTCCGGCAGCGAGGGGAGGGAGAGGGAAGCGAGGAGGCAGCATGGGCAGGGTTCAGGAGGAGGATCCAAGGGGACCTGCACGTGGTGCTGACGATGACCAGCCAGGGCAGCGCGCACATGCGCCAGAGCATGCTGGCGTCCCCGGCTCTCTTCAACCGCTGCACTGTGCTCTGGCTGCCGCCCTGGGGGGACACGGGGCTTGCTCCGCTTGCTCAGAGTCGCCTCGCCGGTGTTTCGCTGGTTCACCCTGTCTCGGCCGCAGCTGCCGCAGCAGCAGGAGGAGCAGGAGGAGGAGTAGGAGGAGGAGCAGGAGGGGCAGGAGGAAGAGGAGACTCCAAGCAGATTGATATGCCGGCTGATTCTGCGGGTGGTGCTGCTGGTGGGGCTGGGGAAGCGAAGGAGAGGCAGCTGCTGGCGGAGGTTCTGGTGGCAATTCATGGCTGCGCTGTTAGTGCTGTTAGCGAGTCGCTCAATAACAGAGCTTTTGGGAAGGCTGGGCTGGGAGGGGAGCAGCAGCAGGAGGGGAGCTTGCAGCATTCCTTCTCCCCAGACTCTCTCATCTCCCTCCGCTCCTTCTCAGACCTCCTCACCCACTTCCACTCCTCCGTCTCCCACTCGCACCGCCGCGCACACCGCACCTTCCAGCACCTCTCCCTGGGCCTCACAAAAGTCACAGCCGCAGAGCACCGCGTAGTACTCCTCCGAAAACACTTAGAACTCAAATCGAAGGAACTCCAAGTGAAAGAGTCTGCTGCGAACGGGAAGTTACAGCAGATTGCGGCTGAGCAAGCGCTAGGGGAGAGGCAGAGGAAGGAAGCCCAGGGGCTGATTGCGAGGTTGGACGAGCAGGCAAGGAGTGTGGAGAGGCATAGGAGGGAGGCGCAGGAGAATCTGGAAAGGGTAGAGCCGGCGGTTGATGCGGCGAAAACTGCAGTGAAGTCGATTAGAAAGTCGCAGCTGGACGATTTGAAGGCCATGCCGAATCCACCGAGCGCAATTAAACTGGTGAGTGGTTCTGTCTATGTGTGTGTAAGGCCCGTGTCTGCCCGTGTAAGGTAAGGCCCCGGAGAGGCAGAGGAAGGAAGCTCAGGGGCTGATTGCGAGGCTGGACGAGCAGGCAAAGAGTGTGGAGAGGCACCGGAGGGAGGCGCAGGAGAATCTGGAGCGGGTCGAGCCGGCAGTTGATGCGGCGAAAACGGCGGTGAAGTCGATCAGGAAATCCCAGCTGGACGATTTGAAGGCCATGCCGAATCCACCGAGCGCCATTAAGCTGGTGAGTGGTGTGCACTGAACCAGACTAAGCCTGGGGGTAAAGGCGGGGAAAAAGGCGGTGCAGTCGATTAGGAAATCGCAGGTGGATGATCTCAAGGCCATGCCCAATCCACCGAGCGCGATCAAGCTGGTGAGTTCCAGTATATGTGTGTGCCTGGGGATAGTGGCAGTTGAAACGGCGGTGAAGTGGATACGGAAGTCGCAGCTGGATGATCTCAAGGCCATGCCGAATCCACCGAGCGCGATCAAACTGGTGAGTGCCTGTGTGTGTGTGTAAGCATGTGTCTGCTTGTGTCTCCTCCACTACACGGAAATCACAGCTAGATGATCTCAAGGCCATGCCGAATCCACCGAGCGCGATTAAACTGGTGAGTGCGTGCAGGTGTGCTTGCTATGCCATAGGGTGGCAGGGTGTTCTCTCCGTGGTGCGCCAAAATAGCTTCATCTGCTCCACTCCCTTTCCCTTCTTCCCCACCCCACCCTGCCCTCTTCAACCAGACGCTGGAAGGAGTGTGTCTGCTCCTGACCGGCTTAAAGCCCTCCACGTGGCAGGGCATTCTCTCTTGCTGGTATGCCGAAATGACTTCTCTCTTCCACTCACAACCCGTCCTCCTCTCCCCTCTCCCCTCTCCCATCTTCCCTTAAACACCAGACGCTGGGGAGTGTGTCTGCTCCTGACCGGCTTAAAGCCCTCCACGTGGCAGGGCATTCTCTCTGTGTTGGCTGCCAAAGCAACTTCTCTCCCCAACCCCCACTCCTCGCCTCCCCCCTTTACCCCACCAGACGCTAGAAGGAGTGTGTCTGCTGCTGACGGGTTTAAAGCCCACCACGTGGCATTCTCTCTGTCGTGCGGCGAAACGACTTCATCCCCCTCACTCACCCTCCCTTTCCCCCCCTCGTCCCCAACCACACTTCCCTTGAACCCCAGACGCTCGAGGGCGTGTGTCTCCTCCTGACGGGTTTAAAGCCCACCACGTGGCAGGGCATTCTCTCTGTCGTGCGGCGAAACGACTTCATCCCCAATATACTGGGATGCGATATGGAGGCCATAGACCCCGTGCTGGTGCTGCGCGTGAAGCGAGAGTACCTGGATGCGCGAGTGATCTCATTTGATGCCGTCAACAGGTAAGCAATTGAATGTGTGGTAAACTGGTAGTAATGCGCTATGGAGGCTATAGATCCGGTGCTGGTGCTGCGTGTGAAGAGAGAGAGTACCTGGACGCGCGGGTGATCTCCTTTGACGCCGTCAACAGGTGAGAGAGAGAGAGAGAGAGAGAGAGAGAGAGAGAGAGAGAGAGAGAGAGAGAGAGAGAGAGAGAGAGAGAGAGAGAGAGAGTCAATGTGTGGTAAGGTGTGGAGCATAGACCCCCGCCATAGGCAGAGATAGACCCCCCCATTCAGTGCTGCGGGTGAAGAGGGAGCACCTGGACGCACGGGTGATCTCATTTGGTGCTGTCAACAGGTGAGCATGCAAGCACACAATATGGCGGTGAGGGTGTGCGGTGAACGTAGAGAGTCAGTGAGCAGGTGAACCGTAGAGAGTCAGTGTGCAGGTGAACCGTAGAGAGTCAGTGAGCAGGTGAACCGTAGAGAGTCAGTGGGCAGGTGAACCGTAGAGAGTCAGTGTGCAGGTGAACCGTAGAGAGTCAGTGGGCAGGTGAACCGTAGAGAGTCAGTGGGCATGTGAACTGTAGAGAGTCAGTGGGCATGTGAACCGTAGAGAGTCAGTGGGCATGTGAACCGTAGAGAGTCAGTGGGCATGTGAACCGTAGAGAGTCAGTGGGCATGTGAACCGTAGAGAGTCAGTGGGCATGTGAACCGTAGAGAGTCAGTGGGCATGTGAACCGTAGAGAGTCAGTGGGCATGTGAACCGTAGAGAGTCAGTGAGCAGGTGAACCGTAGAGAGTCAGTGTGCAGGTGAACCGTAGAGAGTCAGTGGGCAGGTGAACCGTAGAGAGTCAGTGGGCATGTGAACCGTAGAGAGTCAGTGGGCATGTGAACCGTAGAGAGTCAGTGGGCATGTGAACCGTAGAGAGTCAGTGGGCATGTGAGCCGTAGAGAGTCAGTGGGCATGTGAACCGTAGAGAGTCAGTGGGCATGTGAACCGTAGAGAGTCAGTGGGCTTGTGAACCGTAGAGAGTCAGTGGGCATGTGAACCGTAGAGAGTCAGTGGGCATGTGGGCCTCTGTTCTCGTGGTTAGAGGTAGCGGTGCAGTATGGGGAGATCATCCGGGCTGTGCAGCCCATGAGGGGCGAGAGTGCTGACTCTTTCACTTCCATCTCCTGCTTTATCCACTGTGTGTTATCATCACAAGGGCGAGCAAGGCGTGCGGGCCGCTGTTCTCGTGGCTGGAAGCAGCGGTGCAGTATGGGGAGATCATCCGGGCCGTGCAGCCCATGAGGGCCGAGATGGAGCAGCTGGAGGGGGAGGCGGGGAGCATGGCGGAAGAATTGCAACACGTGCAGGTGAGGTTACGCTTTCTGGTTACCACAATCAGGTTACCACTGAGTGCTGAGTGCTGCATGAAAGGACGAGATGGAGCAGGTGGAGGGGGAGGCAGGCAGCATGGCGGAGGAGCTGCAGCACGTGCAGGTGAGCTAACAGTCTCTGGTTACCACAATCAGGTCTGGTTACCACAATCAGGTCTGGTTACCACTGAGCGCTCATGAGAGGGCCGTGCAGCCCGTGAGGGACGAGATGGAGCAGCTGGAGGGGGAGGCGGGGAGCATGGCGGAGGAGCTGCAACACGTGCAGGTGAGGTTACGCTTTCTGGTTACCACTCTGGTTACCGCAATCAGGTTACCACTGAGTGCTGAGTGCTGCATGAAAGGACGAGATGGAGCAGGTGGAGGGGGAGGCGGGCAGCATGGCGGAGGAGATTCAGCACGTGCAGGTGGGTGGTGTGTGGGTGTGTGTGTGTGTGTGTGGGTGTGTGTGGGTGTGTGTGTGGGTGTGTGTGGGTGTGTGTGGGTGTGTGTGGGTGTGTGTGGGTGTGTGTGGGTGTGTGTGGGGGTGGTGTGTGGGTGTGTGTGGGTGTGTGTGGGTGTGTGTGGGTGTGTGTGGGTGTGTGTGGGTGTGTGTGGGTGTGTGTGGGTGTGTGTGGTGTGT